TATAGTAAAAGAATTTATCTATATATTCTTTAAGATAATTATTAGCTAATATAAATTATTAGATAAAATTATATTTAACTAAAATAAACTATTTATATTAAACTTTTAGTTTTTTTTAATAAAATAATTAAAAACTAAATATAAACTTTTAATAATAGTATATTTATAAATAAATAAGCAAATAAAATAATTTAACTAAATATTAAAATAATATATATGCTATTATATTAACTATTAGTAAAATAATTAAATATTATTATTATTATTAATATAATTTATATATAATAGTATAAATATATATATTATTAATATTTTGCTATTTTATACTAATTATAGATTTAATTTAAATATTTATTAATACTTAATTTTTAATATAAAAGTATTATAAGCTACTAACTATATAAAATAAATTAAAAATATTTATAAAAAAATTATAGTAGATTTAAGATTTATTTAAAAATATATAGTAAAATAAGTAAATTAATAAAAATTAAAAGAATTAACTTTTAAAAGAAAAAATATAGTTTACTTATTTTATAAAAAATAAATTAAAACTAAGTAATTTAGTAATAAACTTAATTTTAAAAAAATTAAACTATTTAAAGTTAAAGAAAAAATATTAGAAATAAATTATAAACTTATATTATTAAAAGGAATAAAAATTTATTTAATTTTTTATATTTTTATATTAAAACTTATATTAGCTAATATAATATTAGCTATTAGTATTAAATTTAATAACTATAAACTAAAATATAAAATAAAATACATTTTAAACTATTAAATATATAGAAAAATAATAAAATATTTAATTAAATAAAAGAATTATAATAATAAAAATAATTTATAAAAACTTATTTAAAACCTAGTAAACTATTAAAAAGCACTTTAAGTATATTATTAAATAATTAGCTAAAAAAATCTATATTAGCAAACTTTATTATAAAACTTTAATTTATAATACTAAAACCCTTATTCTATTAAATATTAAAAATAGCTTTAAACTCTTTAGCTATAATTTAGTTAATAGCCTTAATATAATTAGCCTTTTTAAATATATCTAAAGCAACTAAACCTTTATTTACTAAACTAGCCCTATAATAAACTAAAAACTCCCTTTAACAATATAAATAATTTAAATAAGCTATTACCTTACTTACCTAATAATAAGCCTTATATAAGGCTTTTTAAGCTTTAAGCTTTTAAAAATGCAACTTCTTTTCTTTTATAATAACCTAAAATACTAAAGAAATAGTTAAAAAAAAAAAAAAAAAAAGAAAACAAAAAAATAAGGAAAACTAAAACTTATAAACACTTATTAGCACCTTAAAGCTATTATACCTTTTACCTTACTTAATATAAACAGAATAATAGAAAATACCCTTTATTATTTAATAAAACTACCCCTTTACAAAATAAAACAAATAAAGTATAACTTTAAAACCTAATAACTTAATAAACGTAAATAGTTAATTATACTAATCTAATTTCTTAAAACGCAGTTTCTCTATACACAATAACATAATTATTAGCAAAATAAATATAACAAATATATAAAAGAAAATAAAAAAGAAAAAAAACTTACTTAAATTCTTTAAAAATAAAAAAGTAATAAAAAAAAGGAATAATATTACAAATATAATAGGAATAGAACTAAGGAAGTACTATTAGTTCCCTAAAAGCATAGATAAACTTTATAGGCTAATAGGATAAGCTTAAAAGGATTTACTATATAATAAAAGCAGGTTATATAATAAAATAAAAGGATAACTAAAATAACTAAAGTAATGCTTTACTCTAAATAATCTAAATAATCTAACGCTCCTATCGCTCCAAATAAGCAACGCTCTAAGTAAGCCGCCTAAAGTAATACTTTCATTGCTTTAGCTAAAGAAATAAACTATATAAATTACGCTTATTACTAGTAGATAGTATTAGCTTAAAACAGCTTTTTAGCAGTTAATCTAAGTATTTACTTAAAATAGCTATAAAGCTTTTAATCTACTATTGTTACATATTGCTTAAAATATTGCTACCTTAAACGTTTCCTGAATATAAACCCGCTTACTAAGTTTATCAGTTAGGAACTAGCTGTGATTATTATATTATTTTAGTTTAAATAATTCCCTTTTAGCTTATTATTCTTTATTAAGGTTTTAAAATAGGGTTTTTAAAGTATTTTTATAGTTTTTATATTTCTTAAAAATTTCCTATATTTTAAATTTGCATTTATTAAATACTTTAGCACTAATAAAGTTTATAAAGTATAGTTTAAACTAAGTAAAAGCGCATTCTTTAAAAAATAAAGTAATATATATAATTTATTTCTTATTTAGTTAATTGTTTATTTAGTTAAAGCGTTAATAAGCTTTAATCTATATAAGATATACTTATAATTATTTAAAGGTTTTATTATAAAGTATTAAGCTATTTAGCCTTATATTTTTTTTTATAAAATTAAAATACTAATAATATTAGTAGCAACTTAAAAAGTTATAACTTTTTCTTTAAGTTTCTTTATTTTAGTATTTTATTAAACCTATTTATTAATTTATAAGCGCAAGCAGTTAATATTTTTAATTAGCTTTTAAAGCTATTTAATTGTAAATTTAAAGTAGTTATTACTATAACTATAATTATTAGCGTTATTTAATTTCTATAAAAGGTTGTATTAAGGAAGGCTGTTTTTAAGTTTAAATATATTAAAAGTAAAAGTAATATTTATATATAATATTGCTTAAAGTTTATATAAAACGTTTAAATAAAAGCAGTTAAAATATAATAATTATAATTAGTTTTTAACTAATAAACTTAGTAAGCAGGTTTATATTTAAAAAGCGTTTAAGATAATAATATTTTAAGTAATATATAGTAATAATTAATTAAGAGCTTTATAGCTATTTAAGGTAAATACTTAAATTAATTACTAAAAAGCTATTTTAAACTAATACTATTTATTTAATAATAAACGTATTTTATATAATCCATTTTTTTAGCTTAGTTTAATAATAATTAAAAAAGAAATACTATATTTTATTAAAATATATATTAAGCTTTTTAAAGAAAAGATTTTTAAGTATTTAAATTATATAAATTAAATATTAATTAAATTAAATAGTTTTATTTTAAAGAAAAAATACTATTAATTTTAAAAGCTTATTATTTAAAAATAATACTATTTAATAGTAAAAATAATAATATATTTAAGGCTATAATATTTAAAAGTATAATTTATTTATAATATTACTAAATTATATTATAATTATAGTAGAATTTAGTTTTAAGCTATTTATTAAATAGTAAAAGGTTAAGCTATAGGTAATATTATAATATTTATAATTTAGTGCTTAATAGGTAATAGTTAGTTATTATAATAGCCTTTTTTTAGCTTATTTAGGTAATTTAATTATATAGGCAATAATAATAAAGGTATTAAGAAGGGTATTAGTAAGTACTTAAGCCTATTTGCAAATTTTAGTGGTTAGCGTAGGACTGACTTAACTGACAGGGGGGGGGGCTGTACTTTGCTTGCCATAGACAGTGGGTACAAATAGTCTGGGGCTGTGGATCCAGTAGGGATTACGTAAGCAGCCCAGCTGCAGCCTAAACACCAAATCGGCTACGCCGTACGTACGTAGATCTGGGGAGCCAACACACACCCAAATAGTCAACACAGTCAAATTGCAGCCATACGCCTTCTTTTGGTGATAGCTGCGGTGTGACACGTTGACCAGTGGGCCAGAATACACAGGGCGACCCACATAGTGTCGATTTGACGTCTGACCGATATCAGGCATTTGCGCTTTGAAGCAAGGCGTCGAGGAAACCTGGTTGTTAAAGTAAACCCTCAAGATATCTGAAACTGGAGGTTGATAGTTTGTGAGATAAGGCTAGAGAGCAAATCAAGATAACTTCATGATGCAACATGGCTTAGAGCTCTTGATAAAGGGCTGCCGTCGTAAGGTGCAGAAGGCTGCTCACCATCACCCTCGGTGTTCGTAAGTTGCGTGTTTTCTACTGTCATCTTTATATTCACTATGAAGAAGGCATCAAGACTTTAGGGAAACACCACGAGTTGATCGACCTTGTCAATCACGGAACTTGACACGCTCCGATGTTAGCTCCCACATGATCAAAAAACCTCAACACAGAGCCCTCTGTGACAAGTTCCAAAGCTGTGTAGAGATTTGTGAGCATCCGGGAGACCAGAGTTGGCTTGACAACAATGTAGTAGATTTAGATTCCCGCACAGGATTTTCACTTGCTCGAATAACAATCGGTATTACTTCGCATTTCATCAACAACGCTGCTGCAAATAAAGCTAAAAGGTTACTCTAGAACACTCCAGCAGTCTTCCATGACAGATAGGCCACCGTAGGTAGTGAGAACAGTTAAAAATGAGTCATCCGCACTAGCCAGTTCCAAGTGCAGACTAGAGCAGATCCGGTCCACGGGTCTTCACGCCCCTCGCCGAGCTCATTGGCGAGGGTGATCTGCTTTACAATCCCTCATGGATTCAGAGGTGCTTTCCAGTACGCATCCTAAGGGATCGAGATTTGAAATTCGCGACTGAAATCCTTCTATAAAGCGGGTCATCGCCAACTTGTCAAATGGCAATATCCCGAAGCACCGAAAGAACCACCATATGGAGTGACCCGCCTGAATGAATTGGGGTAAATGAAAACATAGTATACAAGCGACCACGACGGTAGTGTGCCGGATTACCCGAAAGTCCAAAAGTCCGAGTCTCACCGACATGAATAGTGAATAGTACTATCTTACAGCCTTGTATCAGCCACAACGCTCCTTTCTGACATCATTGACATATGCAAGCCATCTTTCGAGTTTCAAATTGGACATTATAAAAGATTGTCTTGGCTGTTCCCGAGAGCTTCATATATCCACCACCCTCTCGTCCCACCTCATCACATTAGCGATTGGCTGCTTCCTCACACTGTATTTTTGTTTCGAGGGCCCAACATAAGAAGCTCATCATAGCTATGTCAAAGACTACGCCACTTCCGATCATTATTTCCGGGACGGGGCCAGCCGCCCTCCTCCTTGCGCATGCGCTCCTACGCGCTACACCGCCGCTGCCTTTTCGCCTATACGAGCGCGATCAGTCAATGTCCTATCGGACCCAAGGCTATCGCTTCGTTGTCAGTGGCCGCGGTGTCAAGTCATGCCGTGAGGTTCTCAGCCCGAAGCATTTCGATCTTCTGCGCGCAACTTGTGGTGATAATCAGCCCGTGGCCCCTAGACGCTTTGACGCACTCGCCGGCACCCTCCTGCCTGGGTTTGATATGAAGCAGTTCGATCGCGACATGCAGGAACAGCCGATGAAAGCAGACCGCACGCTGATGCGGCAGGCCCTGTTCAGAGGCCTGGAAGATTTTACCACGTTCGGCAAGGAGATTATTGAATATGAAACCTTCAGCGCCGCTGGAGACACGAATGGAGCCGATGACAGCTCCGGCGTTTTGGTGCGCTTCTCGGATAAATCAACAGTCCGGGGCTCGCTCCTTGTCGGTGCGGACGGTGGCTTCTCACGAATTCGCTCTCAGCTAGTACCTGATGTTCAACTCCTCGACTGTGGAATGCGAATGGTCCTCGGCAAAACACCGCTCACCCCCGCCTTCTATGAAGCTCTGGGTGCATCGGATGAGGACGACCCTCGTGCGGCTGAGCTTCTGGAAAGCATAGCGTTTGTAGTCGATCCCATTCCCCGAACCTCACCCATGTTTTTCATGTTTGACCCAATGCGCTTCGGTGGGCGTGCCAAGGTCGAAGCCAGCGACCCAGGCCTCGGAGCGTCGATACCACTTGATTACATCTATTGGGCGCTGAATCTGCGCAGCGACGAGCCCGAGGCACAATCCAGAGACTGGAAATCTCTTGATGGCTCCGCCGCCGCCGACCTGGCCGAGGACCTGACGAAATCCTGGGCTCCATCTCTGCGCACACTTGTGAAACACCAGGACCGCACACAGACCCAGTCCCTCCGCAGCTCCATCATTCCGATTCCTTTGCGTGACTGGCGCAATGCCGCGGGTACCAACGGTGTCGAAGGATCCGATGCCCCAAAGACCTCGCCAACTTTCAGTCCCATGGTTACACTCATCGGTGACGCTGCCCACGCCCAGCCGCCGACGGGCGGCATGGGTGCCACCAACGCTTTAATGGATGCCGCGGTACTTGGTGCAGCGCTCGCCAAACATGGGATTACGCAGCGTGCACTTGAAGTGTATGAAGCTGAGATGCGTGAATACGCTGGTGAGGCTCTTGCAGGGAGTCTGAAGCGTGGCAAAATGCTCGTTAACATGCAGGACATGAAAGAGATGCAGCCGATGAGCCACTGAAGTTCGAAACTAGAACCACGTTTCGAGAATGAAACTTGATTGAGATGAGCATGCGTGCGTGTTTGAGCGAGCGAGCGAGCGAGGTTGGAATCATTATATTAGTAATTGTGAGCACGACTGCCTCCGTCTTGGATGTTCACATGAGGCCCGACAGAACTCAATTTTGGTAACAGAGGATGCTGTACGATGGTTAGAGGAGTAGAGGATTTCCATGGGATACATGCAGGGGTGCGAGGTACATTTGTCGGACAAATATCGTCCTGGGGTACTCTTTTACTCAGCTCCCTTAGTTTTTTGCTTCATCACTACTCTCCATGTCAGCATTTGAGCATCCTGAAATGAAATAAATTGTGATCGGCAGAGTCGATCATATATACTCAGTCCGCATATAGCATATAGTACTGTAAGCGAGTTCGCGCCTCGGATATGACGGCTCGCTGGGGTCCACACAGGGCGGTAACCGCGCGCCTATGGCACAAATGCATCAGGATAAGCCACTATGGGTCTGATATGTGACACGTTGCGCTGGCAAAGTAATTAAGTAGCGCATCTCATTGCCACTAGCTGCATAAAAGCCCTCACTTTCACTTTCCATGCTCCATTCAAAGTCATTCGTCGACCCCAGGACAAACACATACCAAGCATTTACCTCAGGAAAAAAGCTCAACTTTCAAGACCATGGGTTTCTTCAGTGAGGTGATCTCCGAGGTGGTCGGAGACGCTGTAGACGGAGGAAACGATTCGCCATCGGACCCCCCGTATGTGCAGCCGCCGTGGGTGGCCCGCTGGGACAGCGAGGCTGATCGTTGGATCTTCCTCAACGAGGAGACAGGCGAGCGCAGCTGGGAAAAGCCCGTGCTTGAGGAAGCTGGTGAGAATTTCGACTCCACAAATCTACATATGACGGTCTCAGCGCGCAAAACTGATACAACAACTCCTAGCTGAGAGTTGGAACCGCGAGGAGGATCGCATGGAGCGCAGATTCGACGACGGCGTTCAGGATGTCGAGGAATTCCCTGAAGATGCCGCCCGCTGGACGGGCGAGGCTGTCGGGGAGGTAGAGGCTGTTCCTGATAGGGTGGAGGAAGGCTGGGATCGGGCGGAGGAGAACGTCGAGGAGGGGTGGGACAGGACTGAGGAAAATGTTGAGCAAGGGTGGGATCGAACGGAGGACAAGGTCGAGCATGGATGGGATGAGACAGTGGATGCTGTTGAGAATGCCCCGGAGAATATTGCCGAGGATTTCGGTGAGGGCGTAGGCAAGGTCGAGCGGTTTGGGGACAGTGTTGAAGACTACGGGGAGAGATTGGAGGACAGCTATGACCAGGGGCGGGATGAGGCAAGGTATGACTGAGTCTTGAGAACGAAACGCGCTAGCACTGCGAGACACAATCTTCTCAAGGACGCGAACGTAGTGATCGCATCTATGGAATATCTCCAGGAGATTTAAGAAAGAAGTTTGTATCTCCAGAGGATGTTCTTCAATTCTTCCAGGCGGCAGGCCCCACCTGTGTATCTGCGGTTAAATTACAACGTTCCCATCACGGCTTCTTCGAGAGCTCCCACTCTTTGATACATTCAACTCAAACCCTCATATTTAGAACGCTATTGCCAGGGAGGAGCCAAGCTACGCATTTCCACCATCAAAACAGTTACAATAATCACCGTTGTGTCGGCCAATATGGAACGTGGATAGACTCTCAATGCCAACGTGTCATAATCAATATTATTGGCTGCTGGAGTCATTCAAGATGCCGTTCAAAACAAGTACTTAGATTGAGCGTTTGAAGTATATAGGTTTGAGCTATCAGTGATTGTACTTGATGGGTAAAGACTGCTCTCCAACCTCGCCGTGTTTCCGATCTTCTGACTGAAATGAGTGTCGAGCAACGCTGGCCATAACGTTGCAAATAAATAAAAGTGTCGTGTCAGACTCCCCAGGTCATCCGTGCATATGTCCTCATAATTTCTAGTTTTGTCGTCGGCGTTTCCTACTCCTTCTGGACTGGGAGGTCATGTCCTTTCATGATGGCGGCGGCAATTTCGTCGGCATCTGCGGAAGTGATGCTTCGAACCTCCTCGGCGACGTTAAGAATATGGCGGGCGAGTGTTGACGACGACAGAGAACGCTTTCCGCAGTTTGTGATGCAATCGCCACCGTTGGTGTAGTTACAGCAGGGGTTGTCGGCTGCTGCAAAGCTGGCGAGGGCAGAGACAATGGCGAAGATGCTGGTGAACTGCATTTTGACGGCGGAGGAGTCAGATGCCTTGATTGAAGACGGAATGGAGAGGTATGGAAGCGAAATTGGCTTGAGTGTTGATGCTGGTGCTACTCTGAGTGAAGAGAGTGAAGGTGTATTCCGCGTACGACTGGCACTTTATATAGTTTTTCCAATACTCAAATTTTCACGGCTATTCTAATATGTCCATGTTGTTTCATTCTGGTCTTACACCGCCTGTAGGCATCTCGGAGATCCATCAGCTGCTGAGGGTTGCTTCATTCACTGATCACGTAAAACTTCTGTCGTCAATATCTTACCTACTTATGCCCAGGAAAGTCGAGCAAGTTTTGGTTGGCCCCTCTGCTTGGTCCTTCTGCTTGGCTTTCTTGAATACCTTGCCGGCGTGACCTACAAGCCTCATTGTTGGATTTGAGTCTCACATCCGCTGCAGGACTTGTGGAGTCGCATCAGCTGCTGGTGGCTGCTTCATTCGCTGATCATGTCCGACTTATATCGCCAATGTCTGACCTACACCCGGGCAAGCCGAAGGAATTTGGGTCCATCGACCGAGACCCGAGAGGGACAGGCTGATCAAAGAGAATTACTAGACATCACTAGCGAGGTGCTTCTGTTATTATTGTTCATCACGCTATTCTACTGTAACACATCGTAAGAGGGGTACCGAAGGATTGTGTGTTTCAGTCACCCCAAAAGCCCGCTCTACCCAGTGTGGACGCAGGCATTCGCTTTCTCGTACATCATGCCTTGTTCACTACTCTGTAGAGCAAAATCGGCGTCAAACATAATTCTTAGTTTGGAGTCATTTGAAACTCGCACTACCACTTGCCTGCGCAATGTCTTTCCTGAGTTCATAGCTTATGTGTGTTGAGGACGGTTAAATCTGCAGCCGCGCTGCCGACAACCGTGCTGACACATCACCTTAATCATCCGAACGGGTTCTTTGAGGAGAAGACTTTCTGGTTTCAATTGATCCAAACTCGACAGTAGCCTGTTCTGCATAATCATTAGAGCCGAAAGAGGGGGGATTTCCAAAGTCAGCACACAATGCCTAGTCTTACGTGAGGAAGCAATAACCCGAACTGGAATGTCATCCCACCAACTACACGATCGTTCAACAATTACCTAACTTTCGGTAATGATTATCCGAATGGCTGACGGACACCGCTTGACCTTGAGGGATTCAGCAAGAGGTGGACAAATTGACAAGCGGCCAAGAGCAACAAAGATGTACTATTGCAATCCTTTAAGCACCAAGGCCGAGCTAAATGAAACTGGGTGGAGGCCAGCAATTGGCAGCCACAAGGCACGGAGATGCAACAAGTAGGCACCATCTTCAATGATAGTCGCCGCAGGATAATATCACATTACATTATTACAAAGGTCTCAAGATGATTTGGTAAAGCCTCGCGGGTAGGTAGGACCAGTTTTCCGCACAGCCCTGCGTCACACTGGTTCTTACTCATTATCGAGCACGGGGTCAGAGATCAGGAAACACTGATGATGACTCAAATAAAGAAATTATACCACTTTGAATTCTATCAGTACTTGTTGATTATTGCGCATTGGATGACTGCGCTGGATCCCGGTGGCGCTGGATAATACGGCACAGCCTCCATCGGCGACGTTCTCCCTCGCACACCTTATATACAAGGCAAGAGTACCCTCGGAAGTCCTTTCTCTGTGTTCTAATTCATTAAATCTATTTCCAGTTTTACCGTCATGTCTGCAAGTCCAGATTTGGGGTTGGAGGTATGGTCCTGGAGGGAAACTTTTACCCCCCTTCTCTGGACCATCTCTTTCATATTCTTCGGATTGCTGGCACTTTCATTCCCACGTCGTTTCCACACCTCCAGCTCATTGACCTTGATAACCCTTTCTGTGGTGCTAGCTATAGCCACCTCGGAAGATCTCTTCCCTGACGAATTCGTGACAGTCATCTATTGGCGGTTCTGCATCATATACATTGCCCATATTTTCTTTCTTCTCTGCTCTAGAAAATCCCAGAGCAATGTTCGTGGCGTGTCTGATGGACAGCCCTGGCTTCGTGGCTACAAGCTACTGTTCAACCCACGGGGAATCCGCACGACTTGGGAGAGCCCAGACACTCTTGCCACTTCCACGTCCCATCAGAGCCCAGATGGGCGGAAGACCGGAAGACGGCTGGCAATGGTCAAACGGCTAGCGGTTCTCTGCTTCGAGATCTTGGTCATGTCTTTCTACCATGAGTTCTTCAATACCACTGTTGCACTATACATCCGGCCGATGGCAGCAGACTTCACTCCCGAGAAAGTCAGCATCATCCGTAGAAGCCTCCTCGCGCTCTTCAGGAAGAACACGGACCTCACCCTTGCTGCCATTGCCCGGGAATGGATGATTCGCTTATGGCACATGGTTGACGATCACATATCCGAGGTCTTGTGGCTCACGGCCTACCATGACGGCTTCGCCATCTTCTTCTCGGGCATTCTTGGTCTGGACTCGCTTGACGAATGGCCCCCAATCTTCGGTTCCGTCTCGCACGCAGCGACGATGCGAGGTTTCTGGGCTCATTTCTGGCACCGGTTGATCTATAAATCCTTTTCCTACCACGCTGGGCTCCTATGCACTCGTGTTCTGCGTCTGCGAGATCGTACTGTGGTACGCTACGCGCGCAACCTCGCTGTCTTCGTTCTGTCTGGCCTGATGCACGCGTTCGTTGATTGGAGGAGGGGCGCAAAATGCGCCTTGTCAGCCAACATGTGGTACTGGTCAATTCAGCCTCTGGCGTTTGTGCTTGAGGACGTCATGCAGTACGCGTGGATGAGATTCTTGAGACCCAAGCCAGCGACGAAAACTGGTCGGATTCTTTTGATGGGCTTCGAGAGGACCGTCGGCTATGCGTGGGTCCTCATCTGGCTAAGCTGGTCATACCCTAAACGGCGATTCCAGGTTATAGCAAATTGTACAATATGAAAAGTGCGTATTTTGCATGAAGATAGCATTGCATCATTGGAAGGACGATGAGTTCCATGGCAATTGAATGCTCAAAGGTTACCTGACTGCGCATTAGTGACACGCGAGGTTGGCCCTGGCTCGGTTACACTTAGATTAGCATTGAATAGTGCCCGGTAGACATGTTTGAGCTTGGATTCTATGGGCATGTTTCACAAATGCATAAATACGTCGAAGCCGCGAGCGAATGCCCACATGAATGTCCATTTCGCTATGAGATTCTTGCCAAGCTATCAAATCATCACATTTTGAGGGACCACGTTTGTAAAGACCTCAGTATGGAGGATTGTTGCCGTGCCCCTGTTGATATCCGTAGTTGGAATTGTCCCCATAGCCCTGATTGTGTCCGTAGTTCTGGCTCTGGCCGTAGCTCTGATTGTGACCGTAGCCTTGTTGTTGGTTCGAGTGGTACTGCTCGGGCTGATGCTGCTGTTGCGGCTGTTGCGGCTGGTATTGGTCTGGCCTGTACTCCTGGTGAGGCTGATACTGTTGGGGCCTATACTCTGGCGGCTGGTGCTGATCAGGTCGGTACTCCTGCGAGTGCTGGGGATGTGAGGGGTTGTATGACTGGTGAGACGGAGCTTGGCCACCGTAATGATCCTGTGAAGGAGGAGGAGGGTAGCTACCCTGTGTTGAGGGCGCAGGCTGATGCCCGCCACTAGACTGATGCCCACCACCCGGCTGAGCACCACCAGCCACCGCGCCCACGCTAACACCCTCGTTTCCAATATCGTCCGGCACGGTGATCTTGACCTTGGGAAGGTACTTCTGCACCTTCTGCTCCACCATGTTCTGCACGAATACCCAGCTCTCACGCTCAAATTTGCGGTGCCCGCCGTTGACGAGACCCAGGATGCTCTCACGCAGCGTCTCTTGCACCTTGCGCACTAGACCGCGAATTTTGTTGACAAGCTTGACTTTAATATCATCACCAAAGCCACGGTCCGCCTGCGAGCCGGCATCGCGGTCGAGCTGCGAGTCGAATGGGTTGCCGCCCAGGATCTTCTCCAGGGGCCGCTGAAACTCGTCCGGCAGCAGCTCGAACAGCTGCTTCTCGATCGCGCCGAGTACGGTGCGGAACTCTAGGCGGACGTCACGATGGACTTTTGCGAGACCAGTGCTCAGCTTGTCGCTGATGACCTTGGAGAAACCACCGCTGCTTCCTCCGTCGTCACCATCCCGATCGCTGATACCTCTCGAGCTTCCTTCATCGGAGTGCTTCTTATTACCGAACAGACCGCCGATGCCCTTGACTATATCCTTGACCTGGTCTTCAAACTCTCCCTTGACACCGTCACCGAGATCACGTGTGCTCGTATTTCCGCGCAGCCAGCGCTTGATGTGGTCAAGCGCGATGCGAGTGAACTGCTCCGCGATGGGTGCGTGCTGTTCCCTCAGCTTAGCACCGACCTTCTCCTTAATCTCGGGGCTGATGACGCGAGCCTTCTCCTCCGGGTTCCGTGCAGCATCCTTAACCGTGTCGCTCAGAACACCGAGGAGTCCATCGAGCTCAAACTTCTTGCCTCCTCCTGGTCCGCTGTCGTTGTCTAGATGGTCCTGGACGGCATTCATAGCTGCCGATAGGAAGCCCTTGGCCCCGCCAGAGAATGAGTCGGATTGGCCGATTCCTCGAGACTGGCTTCCACCTGAGCCTCCGCCGCGGCCCTCAGTGAGGTCGAAAATGTCACGCAGGTCATCGCCCGCCTCATCGGTGATTTGGGTAAAGCTCCGTGTCAGCTTGGCGATCTCGTCTGCGAAGGGCAGTGACTGGCCTCCGTAAGCGTCGGGAGGCGAGTCATCGAGACGCCGTGATCCGTCCTGGGAGTGACCCTTATCCTTGTCGAAGAGTGAGCGGAATGCATCGACAACCTGGTCTTCTAGACCATCGATGGTCTTCTTCTGGAAGATGTCGATCTCAGAAGCGATGCGGGGCTGGATTTGCGGCGCCAGCGAGTCGACGTACTCGTCAACTCGCTGCATCAACACATCGGGAAGAGGCATCGTGGTAGTGATGCTATGGGGCTTGCGATGAAGTAATACGTTGTTTGGAACTAGGAAGGTCACAACATTTAACTTGTAGTAAAGTGGGGGTCGCCCCGCTGGCTGAGGCAGTGCAGGCTGGGGAGAGATGAGCTGAGAGGTCACGTGGCCTGTGAGTATACATGCGCATGTACGTCAGTGCCCATGTGTGAGACGAAGGAACTGGGATTACTTGTGTCATGCATTCTGAACTTGTAGCTACCGAGGACTGAATGGAAAAGATGGAGTGATAGCCAACTTACGCAGAATCTATCAATTGTAGAGATAGATCATGGAGTGAGATTCACGGAATAGGTGGCAGACGCTTAAAAAATTATCGACCTTCATTTATATATTACCAATGCCTACTTGTGTCGAAGGTTTATCCGGCTTCTCGTTTCGTTCAAGTAACTCTTCACCTGTTCCTTGCTGTTCTCGCTGAAAAGATCCTTCAGATAATCTTTAGGCTGCTTCGCAGGTCCGGCAGGTGTGCATCTGAGAAGACTGTGTGTCCGGTCTTGGCAACCTGCACCCCGTATGTAGCATGTACTGCAGACGTCGTAGCATCCTTTGTTGCACTTTGAGCAACCTACATCACACCGGATTAGTTTCAGAGAACGACAGAACATTGAATGTCTTGCAGAACTTACAGTAGAAGACGCCTCCTCCCAGCTGTTCCTTGCAAAATTGACAGCAGTCCTTTTCCGTGAACTGCTTTGATATGTTCTTTTCACCTTTGTAGACCACGTAGCGTGTCAAAACATGGCTGGTGTCTCGACAGGTCTTGTCCATTTCGTAACAGCGGTCGCAGATGCCGGCATCGTCGCCACATTTTTCACAGACTGATATATGGTCAGTACTGTCGAGCGTCATACTGACCTAGCATCTAGTGATGTGACTCACAATAGAAAGGCCCCTGCTTGATCTTAGTCTGGCAGCCTGTACAAGCAATCCCATCTGTGGCAAAATCTGGGTGCGGTCTATCGACGTTGGCTCTTAGATACACGTAGAGCCTGTGGGTGTCGGGGGATTGACATGTCTGCCCTTGGCGGTAGCAGTCTTCACACATGTCGAAGTCCGTGTCATCGCTGCACTCGGGACAATCTACAGAAAATATGTGAGCGAGTGAAGACATAAAAGACAGCATGACTCACAGTAGTATCGGCCTTGGGTGATCAGCCTCTGACAAGGAGCACATCGTAACTCTGACACATTCGCAAGGCGTCTCCTAGCGTCTCCCTTTTCCGACGCAAGTACGTCACCCGCAACAGACTTTTGCATCGTTTTCATTTCATTTTCAGAGCATTCGCACGAGGTTCCTCCCTCCCGGCATTTCAGGCAGAGATCGAAGTCGTCTGTCTCTTCGCAACAATCTGCTCGAGGTTAGCACTCCTCGAAAGGCCAGCCATTCCAGGGTATTGCTCACGTGCGAATTTGCCGTGTCTGATAGACTCCCCGCAGCCTCGACAAAACTGGCCCAGCGGTCCTTGTAACCTTGAGCACTTGCCCTTGAGTTTCATCTCTACCTTGATCTCTGGATCTAAGAGCTTCTCCATGGCGTACGCGAAGACAGTCTCGCCAATACACTCAGCAAGCATCTCCTCCATCTTCTTCGCAGCCATGATTCCAGCTGCATAGCCAACAGCATGCCCGCTCACGTTCTCACTGACTGCCTCATTCATGACCTGCCCAGCTCCATGACCCAGCAATGCCCCATGCGCAGCCTGACCAACGGCATTCGCCTGGTCAGCCATACCCTGAGCAAACCCATGGGCCGCCGCCTCCGGGTCTCCTTGGATATAGTGCATCGCCAAGCTGCCTCCATGAGGACCGGGAACAGGCACGTCAGGTGCGGTAATCGCACCGGCAACGAGATGACTTATGCCAGCGCCAACCCCCAGGCCCACCGCTGAGGTACCCAGCGGTATGAACGCGTCGCGCTTCGTCATGTCGTGTAGGGGCACGCCGCGCTTGGTAAGCTCCTCGCGGATGATGGCGAGTTTCTCCTTCGCGACGTAGTACCGCCGGAGCGCAAATGCGGACACGCCCAGTGTGAGACCAGCGGTTTGGACGGCGTGGCTGAGGCCGATACCCATGGACGCGCTGGCCGCGAAGTGCTGCCGGAGCTTTCTGATCTCCTCCTCCTGAAGCTTGATTGTCGGTCGTTCCGCGCATTTTGCGCGGTAGGCGGCCTCGTCGAAATCGAAGGTGTCGTGGAGGCCCATTGTCGGTGAGTGGTGCTGAACTAACTCAATTGCCACCAGCCCTATGTCGATTTTTGAATCCAATTGAGTACTTGAGTATGAATTCACAGCAAAAAGCTTGGTTGTGAAGCCGCTTTAAAATGTGCTGGGGCTTGCAGATGACCTATCCCGCGATGACATAGCCACAACCCGGATCTTCCAAGATTTTGGTGAATCTGTCGTCGTCGGTCGACGCCGAACTGGAGGCCTTCAGCGTGTGCTGGCTCCACCAAATCCCTGCTTCGAAGGACAGGGGAAGCACATTAGTCTGTGACCCTAGCCCTATGCTGATAGTATGGTAAACAACAATAACAACCCTCCCCTTCCAACCGGATGATCCCTTGACCTAAGTGATCAAGATCCATCTACATCTTTAGAACATAAGAAGAACCATGAGACAGGACTCTTGAGGAGAATAGGGAACTCGACTTTTCATATTTTTCTCTGACTGGCTACGAGTCATGAGACCTAGGATGAATCAGTCGGAGACCTCCTCCAAGCTGCTGTACTTGCTACCAGTCCCGGACGCGTAATTGAACAAGCCGACACCGCTATCGCGTCGCGCGTCCAGAACGTTCTCCTCCTCCACCAAGTATCTCTTCGGCTCATCACTGCCTTTGCTGGATAGGATCTGATCAAGGGCCAGAGTGATCCGTTCTGCACCCACTCTCGCACCACCAATATTCGGCGCAGCTGGGCCCAGTCTCAGCGCTGCAAGCCTTCCCGCCATGAAGAGCGGCACGTCGTCCTTCCACATCAGATCATCGTTCAAACACGGGAATCCGCCGAGACTCTGGATGGGGTAGTCCTTCAACATGGTTTGCAGGTAGGGCAAGGTAGTCAAGTCGGACTGAATGCCTGTAGCGAAGTAGATGTAATCGATATCCGGCAAACCCTCGATGGGCGGCTCCGTCTTGATCTTCCACATACCGCCCTCGCCGTCGACGCATTCCTCGAAACGTGCCTCGTTAATCACAGTCCTCTCGAACATCTTCAAGTTGCCGCGAGCGATGTGCGGCTTGATACGCTTCATGAAGGCAGGCGTGATGCTTCCGCCGCCCCGAGCCTCCTTGATGATCTCCAGCCGCTCCTCGTCTGAGTCCGCTTGGTGGAAGTAACCCTGGTGCAGCGTCTTGTACTTTCCCATCCAGTGGAGGTCGACATCGAAGGCCTTGAGCTTGATTGTGCCGCGCATGATGTGCCAGACCTTGGTCACACCGCGGCGGATGGCGAGGTCAGAAAGCTGCGCTGACGTGAGGCCGCCGCCCACGACGAGGATGTTGGTCCGTTTGTGGGCGGCGACACGGGCCTGGACTAGTGGGTCGGGAAATGTGCCTATTTTCATGCTATGGCATGCTTGTGGCATGCAGGCGATGTGGTCGCTGTGGGTGTGGCCTGGGAAGGAGAGACGTGGAATCTGGGGGAGGACGGGGGCGTTGGCTGGGCCGACGGCGAGGATCACAGCGCGGGCGTAGCGGATGGTTTTGTCGGTGGTGACGGTGAAGAGCTTGTCCTCATCGTTGGGAATGTCCTCTACGTTGCTGTATCGGATGTCTGTGACTGGCTCTTTGTGGACGAGACCATCCAGGAGGTGGTAGCGCTCAGCTACGCAGTCGCAGTGGTCGGTGAAGAGGGACAGTGACGGTGTGTAGTAGTCCCATTGGTCCCGCTGGTTGATGTCGATCGAGGCGTCCTGCCTGGGGAACAAGATGCGTCAATACAAGTCGAAAAGTGCGAATTTCTGCAAAGATATGGCAAAAGCTCACCTTCCGCCGCTGAACTGGCTTCTTTTCTTCCTCTTGTGCTTGCTCATCTCCTTCCCTACACATCCTCTGATTTCTACCAGCTCGTTCTCCCGTCCATGGAAATGCGCATGTGACAACATGGCGTCCCTGTGCTGTGGGTCAACGTGCCATAGCATTGGACTTCGCAGATGGCTAATATCGAACGTGGAAAAGAGCCTCCGCCAGCGTCCGAGCCATTTGCTGTCGTCAGCATCCAGTACCGCAATCCTATACTCCGATTTCGTACTGGCATGCGGCTGTGACACAGGTACCTCCTTTCCAGTTTTGTAATGCTTCAAGGCTACCTTCGTGCCGTGCTTGCGCAGCCAGTGGAATCGACTGTGCTCTTCATCCGTGAACATGGCAGATGGTGCGTCTTCTCTGATGCGAGCAGCGGCAGCAAGGCCGCAGGGGCCGGCTCCAATGATCAGAACATCGAAGATCTCGGGATCAACATCGAGGTCATGTTGAGTGACCGAGGCGTTTGAAGGGTCACTGTCTTCCAGAAGAGGCATCTTGTGATGTGAGAATAGGACTGAGACGTTGAGTCGAGGCACTAGGGTTCAGGGGAACAGATACCGTAGGCTTTCAGGAATCCACGACACCTTGGTCCATCACTGTGCAGACATGGTGTTCTTTAAGAGACCGTCACAAACCCTCTACACTAATCAGCACCCCGGGCACCTTGATGGACACCACGCCTTGGGAAGCGTCCTTTTTGGGACCTGAGCAGTGGTAGCGTAGAGACTATGACCAACTGCCCCCCCCCCCAAACCCGGTGCCTTTTTCCCGTTCCAGCCTTCCCCTCCTGACCAGTGCATGGTATTGAAATCTTGCTGTGTATCTATCTTAAAATTATGTTCATAAATTCATCGGTAGTCATTCTGTCACGGAATTTCTGAAACGAACATTAACCTGCTCCATGACGATGCACTACTGCAGATATGCAAACGATTGCGACTCAGGAGGTGCTTGAGAACCTTGATGGCCCAGACTCCCGGCCAACTTGACTGGAGCCGCTTTCGTCATACTACCCGCTCAGAAACCCCGAATTGGATCCAAACGGTTCAGTCACTGTCCATAGAGGTTCTCAAATGGCTTTATAATCATAGCCGGCCAAACACATCTGGCAAGGCCGTTGATCAGCCATTTGTTGAGCATTAACTCCTGTTTGTTCGTGACAGCCATAAAACACATGTACTGTAGTCGTCATTTGCGACGCAATGAGACCGTATGCGCCAATCGACAGAGTCAATCTGGTTCATGAAGTACGTACACATTCTCAATTGAATGAAAGATCGGTAATTCCGCGCCAATAGTGAAAGAATACTAGATTTGGTCGCCACATATCCTTAAGGAATCCTTAGAACGAGAGAGTTCTGAAAGAAAAATTTAATGGACCAGCCTATTTTTACCGAAGTATCTATGTTGTTCTAGCGGGACGGCACACAGTGGCTTTCTAACAAGCCGTGCTAGCTCGAGCAGGAATTCACCGAGGCATTGTGCCCGGCTCTGGAGACAGAACCGATTGTAATAATAAACGATTCCATAGAAGACCTCGGTTCTATATTTCCAGGCACATTGTCCATGGACGATTCCAACGTAACTGGAAGGGCTGAGCACGAAATACAAATTGTCCTTCCCTCAAGGGAGTTTAATTGACTGCTCGCTTCGAACAAACCCAAGAGTTCGCTCAATTACAAACTTGCAAAAAGAACGAAACGCAACGAGGAACACTCAAGTAAGATGTCAGCCATACCGGCGCGATATGATCCAAGAGTGGTAGTCATACCTTGTGCTCCTGGTCGAGTACCAGATTTGCCTGTGCAAATCCTCTACCTCATCGCCCAGGAACTTCCGCAGCCAAAATCCGTCTTCAACCTCGCGATAGCCAGCAAGGGTACTTGGGACTACCTGCAACCGGCTCTCTACCAATGCGAAGTAACTTATGAGGCGAGACTGATACACAAATATGGCGGCGGGACCTCCGAGAAGGCCGCTCAAAGCAATGAGCCGAGCTGCCATGAGCAGTGCGGTGAATGCCAGGGACGAATCAATCTCGATGACAGAACCTTCGAGTCTCCGGCGCCAGAGAACTTACTTTGTACGGATAGACGAATCACTGCTCTGCACTGGGCTTCCATGCAGGGAGAATCAGCGCTTCCCGTAGCCCTGAAAGCTATACGCTCAGCTCTTAAGCATCAACCGTCCTACATTGATGGTATGGGTCTTAAAGCGCGACAATACCGTGAGGTTGCAAGTGCAAAAGATTACATACTTGTCTCCGCGGAACTTCCACCTCCCCTTTCCCTTGCCGTTGCGCAAGGTAATTTCCAGGTGTGTGAGGCCTTGATCGGTGCTGGATGCGATACGAACCTCTTGCAGAGACAGACTACATTTAGTAACTGGAGGTGGGTGACAGACGCCCGAGACACGTCGGCTTGCTTCAGAATTCACAAGGAGTGTGTGAAAGGCGGACAGTTGGCTTGTATCAGGCGACCCTGGTTTGCTCTTCCAGAATTCTTATATGCTGAGTTCCCCGGTTGTCATACAGCCGGCCACGTTGCGATTCAGTACGGAAATACCGAGGTGTTGGAGCTGCTTCTCCGAAATGGACTGAATATCAAGCTGGGGAGGCTTGCTCTAATCCACTTCGCAGTGATGGAGGGGAACCTTGCAGCTGTGAAAGCTCTCTTGAATCACGATCCGAGCCTTATTCATAAGCGTGTGTGCCGTCAGGATGGTTTTACACTGATTCAAACATTGTCATTCATGAAACAGAAAGCTGGGAGTGAAGACAAATGGAACCAACAGCTCAGAGACATGAATTCGTATCTGCTCGAGCGTGGCGCTGTCCTAGACGCCGAAGCCGGAAACTACGCAGTCGTAGACCTGTATTGGAATCAATCAGACTTCGAGGATGGAGAGGAACATGACGGAGAGAAGCTGACGGCACTGCAAATTGCTCTGAACTATGCGCGCTACTTAATTGCGCCGACCGACGCGCATCGTGCTCAGGTATTCACAGCACTACATGCAGCCGAGGTTTTCATCAGCATGGGGGCTGATTGGAGGCGACAACTTCCGTCAGACCCATCACAGAGAGGAATTCTGGGCCTCTGCCTCAAACGTACCGTCGAACTCTACGAGGACGTCAATAGTGAAGAGCCTGGGCTGTTTAAGAGGGCCGGGCTGGAGTTGTGTGACGAAACCGAGATGAGCCTTTATCGCGAAACCAGGAGAGCATGGGGACGGGTTCTCAAGGCTATCGTTGAAAATGCGGCTCTGCCCCAGGACGAGATGGCTCTGTCGACAGCCTTCACCTGGTTGACCCACCGGTGTGGAAATGAGGCTCATGGTCGTACAAGGCCGTTGGTAGGCTGCTTCTTTCCACCGGGGTAAAGCCGCCTAGTCAAGACGTGGAGAAATGGGAGAACTTGTGCCTTAGGAGAGATGAAGAAGGCCTGTACGAGGACGGAACTCGGAGTGATTGGGCTTTTCTCATGCCTGACACTGTGGCTGACGAGGTGGCGACTGAATAGGTAGACGGACGCCAAAGAAAAGGTAAGCACTTTTATATTGTAAGAGGTGATTTTCCAGGAGTCTCCCCCAGACAATATTACAGAAGCTTTTCATGTACACACGCGCGGCCCATGAACTGGACCATTGTGATTTGATTTTAAATTTGCTGTTTCCGGAGTGCTTGCCATACCCTCCATGGCAATTTCCAGCTACTTTTGACCTGGAATGGATCAAAGTTGGCCTTCTCAATCCTTTCCAGGTAGTCGCCAGCCGGTACAGCCTCCAGGAGCACTCCAAAGCCACGCTTGACATCCCGCTGTGTGGTGTCCTCCTCCTCGGCGTGACTGTGTTCCACCTCGCCGGCATGTTCATATTCGTGACCTGGGTCTACCCCCTGGCCTATGTTCTTCAACATCTCCCGCGCTGTAATGAGATGATCGTTGGCACGGGTGGCGACCTTGAAGATGGCATCCTGCAAGCCCTCTGCGTTCGGGCCATGGCGGAATACATCCTCCTCTCGCAGGCCGACCTCAGCCATGACATCGAGTGGCAACAGGAGGGCTTGACTCCTGCTGTTGCCTGCTTCCATTCCACCGGGCGTGTGCACTGGCCGAGGAGGTGCAGCCAGGACAGGCACGCCGCGCAGGGTCGCGACGATACCGCACGCCTTGCCGATGTGGCTGGCCAGATGGTCCATGTGTACTGAGCGAACATCCATTGCAGCCAGTGTCATGTACATCAGGGTGGCGTACGTGTTCTCTGCGTAGTCCTCCAGCGCAGCCAGGCTGGAAAATGGCCTGTTGCCCATGTGCTTCTCGCGGGTGTTGATGAAGCGCAGCAGCCAGAACTTGATCGAGCTTGCGCTGCTACTGGAGCCTGTCCTCTCGGCGAGGTCGGTTATGGCTTTATGCAGGAGAATGGAGATGGGCTCCTTGGGAGGATTGCCAGCAAAGGTCTTGTTGACGGCATCGCGCCAGAATTGCATGCGCATGAGCCCTATCGTGGGGTTCGAGACGGTCTCGGGCAGTCGGGCGAGCTCGAGGTTGAGGGTTCGCAGGGCGTCGTAGGCATTTTGGGCGGATCGAGGGACGAATTGGCGCAGGAGATAGGAGTCGTAGTCACCTTGTCTACAGTAGCAAGCAATGTGAGAAGGTTGCGCCGGGGAAGGAAGAAATGCTGGAGTGTTGCAGACCTCAATTGATTTACGCAGTATTTTCGAGCGCTCTCGATATCTGCTTCCGTAGCGATTCCTCTTATCGACCGGACACTGCCCAGCGCCCGGACAATTGGCCTTCCTGGACCATGTCTGAGGCTGTGGGAAAGATACATTGCATTGGGAAGAGCTCGAGGTCAGGCTCCCATCTTCAAAATGGTGTGTGCTCCCTCCCCATATACCAAAGTATCGAAACGGCAAGGGGGCGATAACTTCTTTGATGCTTCCCGCATACTGAACATTTTGGATGACGGCATGGGCAAGCTGGGACCCTGTCGCCCCACCTTTCTGACAAAGTGCAATGCCTTGAGTGGCTGCAGGCACCGACGCCAAAAGTCGCGCCCCCAAAGCGCAGGCGCGTCTCACCAGAGCACCCTTCTAAACGAGCATCCGGCCGTCGAGGCATCTTGCCTTCGCCACCGACTCCCAATACCAATTCTTCTCGCCATGACGACTCGCGCCATGGAGTCTCATACGAACGGCGAGCCTCCAACAAAGAAGAGGCGCTTCTTCACAGATCCAGACGAAATTGTCCGCCCCTCAGACGCGTCTGGCTCGGCAGCATCTCCTCCTGGACCATCTTCGAAGCCACGCTTCTTCAAAGATGCCAACGCAGATGCACGTCCTTCAGATGTAGATCAGACAGGTCAGAGGGGACTACTGGCACAACAAGAGCCGGAACCTGCCGATCATGCCTCCTCGACAGCCGAACCTGGCCCATCGAATGCAGGCAGTGCATCCTTAGTCTTTGATCAGGAGACCTTCGAAAGCTTTGTAGGGGACAAAGTCCAGCCTGATGTCCTCGAGCTGATCCGTGACAATTGTGGAAATGATATCGAAAGAGCTGTCAACATGTACTTCGACGGCACATGGAAGAACTTTAAGAAGAAGGCAAAGCCCACAAGCGTCCAAAAGACGATATCTAGGAATCCCAAGCCACAGGAACCCGAGCCTCCTGACGATCGGTCGAACGCAACTCTTCTATCTACCCCGGACTCTCGCTATATTGGCTCTTTTGGTGTGGAAGGCTGGGCAACAAGGAGCGGAGCGAACCTCCTAAAATACGGAGACACTGTCAATATCGAGCGTCAAAAGACCCAGCCTTTGAAGAGGCAACGAGTAGATGTCATCGTCAGGTTTACAAATGATAAGGGCATGGAGGTTGGACGTCTGGCAAAGGACAGCGCCAACTGGATTTCTACCCTGATGGATCAAAAGTGTTGCAAATTCGATGCGACATGCGTGTACGCTCCCGAACGCTTGAGGACAAACGACACCGTCTTCATCCAACTGCGTTGCTCTTTTCTCAAAAGTGCATTCCACAGGCCAGGCTTCAAAATGCCTGACAACCGAACAACAGGTCTCTATGAAGAAAAGGAGACGACCGAAGAACGGGATCTGCGCCTGAGACAAGTTGCGCTGGTGAGGCTATTCCAGGAAATTAATCTGAATCCGACGAAAATCAGCGCTGCCGCTGCTCGGCACTCACGTCAAGGCCTGCTGGATGCCGCCGAACTTGCCGAGAAACAGGAGAAGGAGCCGGCCAAAACAAAAAAGTCCGACAAGGACGACAAGAATGGCTCCTCGACTCCGTCAGAGGATGAAGACGGCACCGAGTTAGAACAGGACCAGCTCGATTCCCTGTACAAAAAGGCGCAGTCCTTTGACTTTGACACGCCCGAAGCGGAGCCGGCCAAGACCTTCGCCATGACCCTTCGTCCCTACCAGAAGCAGGCCCTTCATTGGATGCTGTCAAAAGAGAAGAACGAGAAGGAGAAGAGACGGGAAGTGTCTATGCATCCACTCTGGGAAGAATATGCTTGGCCGATCAAGGATGCAGATGACAAGGACCTACCCCGTGTTGCCGACCAGCCCTGCTTCTATATGAACCCATACTCTGGGGACTTATCACTCGAGTTCCCTGTCCAAGAACAGAACTGCCTCGGCGGCATACTTGCCGATGAAATGGGCTTGGGTAAGACCATACAGATGTTGAGCTTGGTTCATTCGCACAGGTCGGAAGTTGCCGTCGAGGCCAGGAATAGCTCCAGGAATGGTGCTGGATCCGTCAACAATCTTCCTCGCCTACCTTCATCAGCAGCCGGAGTTGTCTCGGCCCCTTGCACTACTCTGGTCGTGGCTCCCATGTCTTTGCTGGCCCAGTGGCAGAGCGAGGCTGAGAACGCATCCAAAGAGGGAACTCTAAAGTCAATGGTGTACTATGGTAGTGACAAAGTCGCTGATCTTCGAACCCTTTGTTGTGAGGCCAACGCATCCTCTGCACCCGATGTCATCATCACCAGTTATGGCATCGTACTCTCCGAGTTCACTCAAATCGCGTCCAGGGGTGGCAGTATGGATGGTCACCGCGGGCTCTTTTCTCTGAACTTTTTCCGGGTCATTCTTGACGAGGCCCATAATATCAAGAACCGCCAGTCTAAGACTGCCAAGGCCTGCTATGACATCTCTGCCGAACATCGATGGGTTTTGACCGGCACACCTATCGTGAATAAGCTTGAGGATCTATTCAGTCTCGTCCGCTTCCTCAGAGTCGAACCGTGGAACAACTTCTCTTTCTGGCGCACATTCATCACTGTGCCTTTCGAGGCGGGTAATTTCGTTAAAGCGCTAGACGTTGTGCAAACTGTGCTGGAACCTTTGGTGATGCGGCGCACAAAGGATATGAAAACACCCGATGGCACGCCTCTCGTGGACCTGCCTCCAAAGAGCATCGATGTTGTCGACATTGAATTATCAGATACCGAAAGACAGGTCTACGACTATGTCTACACCCGCGCCAAGAAGACTTTCCAGGAAAACGTTCAAGCAGGAACTGTCATGAAGGCTTTCACCACAATTTTTGCGCAGCTCTTGCGTCTGCGACAGACATGCTGTCACCCGATTCTTGTCAGAAATCAGGACATTGTAGCAGATGAAGAGGAGGCTGGAGCTGCAGCCGACGCTGCGGCGGGTCTTGCTGACGACATGGATCTCTCTTCGCTGATCGAGCGCTTCACTGCTGATACTGATGATGAGAAGGACGCAAATGCTTTCGGTGCACATGTCCTTGAGCAGATCCGAGACGAGGCCGCCAATGAGTGCCCTATCTGCTGTGAGGAACCAATGATTGAGCAAACGGTCACAGGTTGTTGGCACTCGGCGTGCAAAAAGTGTCTACTGGACTACATCAACCACCAGACAGATCACCACGAAGTACCAAAATGCTTCAACTGCCGTGAGGTCATCAACTCTCGGGACCTTTTCGAAGTTGTTCGCCATGATGACGACCCGGAGCTCAAAACCGGCCAGACGACACCGCGCATCAGCCTCCAACGCGTCGGTGTCAACGCCTCTTCAGCCAAGGTTGTCTCGCTGATCAAGCATCTCCGAGCCCTGCGCAGGGAGAATCCCAATATGAAGTCGGTAGTTTTCAGCCAGTTTACGTCTTTTATGACGCTCATCGAGCCAGCCCTGGAGAAAGCCAACATGCAGTTCCTCCGGCTGGACGGCTCGATGGCTCAAAAGGCCCGCGCGGCCGTGCTAGACAAGTTCCGGGACAGCAAGAAGTTTACAGTGCTCCTACTCAGTCTCAAGGCGGGTGGGGTCGGCCTGAATCTCACAAGCGCCAAGAGGGTGTTCATGATGGACCCGTGGTGGAGTTTCGCGGTCGAGGCGCAGGCCATCGACCGTGTGCACCGGATGGGACAGGAGGAAGAGGTCAAGGTGTACCGTTTCATCGTGAAGGATAGTGTGGAGGAGAGGATGTTGAAGGTACAGGAGAGAAAGAAGTTCATGTGAGTGCACACACCCCCTTCCCTCTTTCTTTCCCCCCTCCCTCAGCCTCTGATATTTTTATCTTTGCGCATTTGCTGACTCGATCAATTGCAGTGCTACATCTCTGGGAATGATGAACGACGAGGAGAAGAAGATGCAGCGGATCGAGGATATCAAGGAGCTATTGAGCTAGATGGGAGAACGGGTCACATTTTGGGGCGTGGATTTATTGTTACGGACTCATGGCCTGAGATACGGGTGACTCATATCTCGGAGGAGACGCTCATCATAGCATGGCTAGACATACTTGCTCCACATACCAATTCATGTGTTAGAATTGACGGCGTAGAAGCAAATATCACGCATATTTATAAATCGTCCACTCGTCTCAGCCAGGCTTGACTTGCTTGCCAATCTCGTCACTCAGTCTCGCGCAATTGCATTGAAACCGATTGTTCTCACTCGATGCGCTGTACTGACTGGTTTGAGTCAATATTGTGTGGATGATTAAATGAAATGCTAATTGTAACGACAAACTGAACGCATTACACAGAGACAGCAGCCTGCAGCTCCCTGACCTCCTCACTCGCAGCACCCTTCTCCACCTCACCAGCCTTCGCCGCCTCCTCGTCGCCAAAGTTCTCCCTGCCAGCGGCAAAGACCTTGTCGAACTCGTACTCGCTCCAGCGGATGTCCGGGTTGAGGCCGGCAAACTTCCAGACGCCGTCGACCTTGCGGTACCAGTGCATGTTGTAGCTGTGGGCGTGGCCCTTGACCTTGACCTCGGACAGGGTAGCGTCGGTGTAGACCTGGTGCGGCACGCGCAGCTGGTGGTGGCCGACGACCTCGGTGTCCGACACCTTCTCCCACCGCGAGCCGCCCACAAAGTGCTGCGTGCGCAGCAGCGGGTTGCCCAGCACCGCCTTGTCCGAGATCATGGCGATGAACTCCTCCGCTGGCATCGCCGGCCAGAGCTTGTCCAGGAATGAGCGGTAGTCGATCTTTGGGACGGGATCTTGTTAGTGGCTTGTTGGCTTGCATGGTGATTTGCATGTGGCGGTCTTGAGTGGGTGTGTGTAGTGGGTGTATGGGTGTGTGTGGGTGCGAGTCTTACACGCAGAGTGGGGGCAATGCATTTGCTTAGCCGCTTCCAGTCCTTGGAGTCGTAGCTGTCTGCCCACTCGAACAAAGCGGCGTTGAGGCCGAGGTAGTCTGGTGGTCCAAGTCAGTCAAATGTCGTCCGAAAAGATCCCATATCCTAATTATCTCATACCTGAGAAGCTGATCTCATCTGAAGATGCTGGCATGGAACCCATGGTGAAGGATATTATTACACAGATGTTGTTCGGACTGCAGCAGAGGTATTATTGACCGGTAAGTTTTTCAAACATTTCACGAATACGTGGGCACCCCCACCGAGATCGAGAGGACGGCGATCTTCTTTTTATCAATCTCACCACACCCCCTGCGCCAGGATCGAAGGAGGGTGGTCCGACACGCCGGTGTGCCCCCCCTGTTCCGGCCGTTACCCGGACGTCCGGAGGTGGTTGGGGAAATGCGTGCTGGCCGTGCCGACGACCCCCCCTGAGCACTAGGCCACAAATCCCATCACTTATCATATCCCGCTTAATCCGCGTGCATGTCCTGACGCAGAGTCCCCCGGCCGAGACAGTGGCGGCACGCATGTATGGTGGCATCGGGCTGCATGATCAGGAATATGCCCCCGGGAGGGTTGGGTGCGTGTTGTGATTTGCACGTGGTGGTGGGTGTCTTATTCAAGCTCCTCTCCCGCCCGAAACCGAGCACCCGCTCGGGTCGCCAAGACCTCCTTCGACGGGTCGTGCAGTTTCGGCGCCGAGCGTGCTTAACATTCTTTCAAACTTGGTTACCTTGGCCTATCCCCCTTTGTGTCTGTCGTCGGTCCGCCCTTCGAAACAGCGGATGACGCTAGGGCTGCAGCCACGGCTGTGCTGGACGACATCCTTCTGGTAGCTCCGTCCAAATTGGAGCTCGTTACCGGGTTGAGAGCACCTTCGTACCTAAATATACCTTCCACACATTTATCGGCATCCAGACATTGGGCTGGTTGGACTCCACGAGTTGGAGGCATTTGTTCTGGCGACCTAGCATATGCGTCATATTGGATGCAGATATGATGAGGCACTGGACAATATCCAATTCTAAATACAATCGACAACGAACTTTATCTGATTTTTACACCCAATTAACCATAGTCAGAAAGTTCCCTTGCACGAGAACACAGCCACCGCAAACGCAACAACTCGCCCTATCCAGAAACAACGGGTCCGCCTGCTCAGATATTAGCCTGTTGTGTCCAGTCTATACGTCCTCGTTTAATCCGACCATCATTTCGGTCCGGGTCAAATGTGCTATCGTCGTCGGCGTCCTCGTTGTCGTCGCGGAGAGCGGGACGCTTTAAATCCGCCGGTCGCGCATGATAGCCGCTCATCAACGTGCCGAAAATCCGGCAGCGGTGGGACTGCGCCAGCCGTATTGCGAACGGGCTCGGCGGAGCCTCTTGGCCCTTCCACTCGTCGATCCAACCTCTCTCATCTTCCGAGCCCGTATTTCCACACAGCTATGTCTTGTCAGGCTCCTGAATCTGGAAAAGACATTGAGTAGAGTGGGTCGCGAGTCGGTGTACTTACATGTCATATCGTAGACTTCGCCCGCACGGCTAATCCACACAGGCCGACGGTCTGGATCAGGGCCATGTGATGGTGCCCCAAGATCATCGGTCCTTGAAGGGGCCGGGATCTCCGATCCATCGGCCGCTGCTAGCTCGTCCGGGTACACGTCGACCAGGCTCTCCAGCTTTGCTACTATCAAGTCCCGCCGCTGGAGCAGCCGCAGCATCCCTGGACACGGTTGGGGGACGCGCAACCTGTGGGAGATGTCCGTGCCAGCACCGTCGAGGACGTCTCCTAAGAGTATGCGGTTTCGCACCATGCCCTCCCAATCTCCAAGGGCTTTTGACGAACATTTGTTAGCATCAATGGTCTGACCAGCGGGGCAGCCCCATGCAGCGGAAAAGGAGAGGGAGGATGCTCACGTCGCAGGTCATATACCATTCTGTTCACCGCGACCTCGTGCCGGGCCAGCTGGTCCACGGCGATCTCCTGGACCACACGGCCTATGCGGAGATAGTCATAGTCCTCGATACATACTGCAGTATTTCGGTGATATCGTGCGAAGTCCTCTCTTGCCTCTCGACCAGCGTATTTCCTCAATATACTCTTGCCACCAGGACGAAAGTCCATATAGTATTCCACAATTTAGTCCGTGTGGTCTGGATATAAATCTTCTAGAAGAGGCACTTACGTGTCATGTCATACACACCACCCCGAATGATTATGTAGGTACCGTCTTCCGGGTAGCATGCAAGCTCCTTATCCGAAAAGACCCTTTCAGCATTGGGCGGAGGGCCTTGAATAGGGACAGCCTCGGCCAGTCTCGCAACTTTGTATCGCCCCTGGATGCCCCTGACAACGGCTTCTAGGAACCCTCCCCCTTGACATCTGCTCCATTACGAATATGGCATGTTGCATCTCATGCGCCAGTCTGTTGCCCAGGGCAAAAGCCGCATGTGCCTTCTGCGCCGCTATAGCTGTAGTGTTCAATAGCGCCCAAAATCATGCTGATAATGTTCTTATCTGGGTCAGGTTGGAATGTAACGCCCGCGGCCATTCTAGCAAGCCCGACGCCTGGGGCCATGAAGCTGATTTGAATCGATTTGGACCAGTCATCTATGAGATCTTCCAACTCGTCAGCAGACTTCTGTTCGGAGGATCTCTCAATCCAGTAGCTCGAACCCGTAGCCAAATGTTCTCTCCCCTTTGTACCGAGGTGGTAGCATCCGCAAAAGGCAAAGTCAACGACGCCCGGACGGAATCATTCGGCATCTGTATGCTAGGCCTAAGTGAGTTCCAAAATACCGGGTCATCCACGTTGAATGTCGCATTTGGTGGAAGGCCAGGCAGTAGCCGTTCTGGGGCTGCGTAGCTGTCGCTCAAGCGGATGTCGAGGTTATGCCACCGTGCCTAGTGTGGGAGTAAGTCACTGCATATTTGCAAGGATTGCTAGGGAGGTGAAAACATATCTCAGCTTCGCCACTAACCTTTTCGAAGACCAAAAGTCAGATGTCTTCGTTCACGCGCTCGTCGATGTTCAACTTTACTGGCATGCGCAAATCGAATAAAACCGCTTAATACATTGGTAAGCCGGCGAGTCTCTCTCTTTGCGCGGAATCATCCAGGAATAGTCGATCCAGATCAGCATCACTGGGCATTGGCAGCGGAACAATATTGTCAGGGCTTGCCTCCGGTGGGAGTTCATCGTAGTGATCAATGTCGATGTCTGGAAATGTGGCATGGAATCCCGATCGTTTCTCTACCTGCCATGGGCCACAGGACTCGACTCCGAACCTTGATGCCCACGGTGAGGCAGGCTGATCTTGGACTGGGTCATCCTGGGCTGAATCATCTTGGGCCGGGTTGTCTTGGGCTGGGTCACCTTGGCCCGGGTTGGCCTGGACCGGACTCGCCATCAGCACGTCGCCGGGGAGGTCAACAGACAAAAGTCAACAGGGTTCCCGTGAGTTAAACGCAAGGATATGAGCGGATAAAGCAGTAATAGAAAATGAGGCTGGTAATACAGAACTTGGGCTTTGTGAGAGCCCATGTCTCGTTTCGAGCTTGAGAATTTCTCATGCTGTTTTTGGGAGCCGCACAAAATAGGATTGATGGAAGGCTAGACAAGATCTTCGACCTACAACAGCACATACACGCTGACATGCCATTGGAGGTATAATTTTGGTCCCCGAACAAATCCAATAGTTTACCGTCTCGTTCCGCATCCGTCGCCTTTTCCGACCTTGTTCTCCCTCCAGTCCAAAAAGAACCCATTCTTTGGATGGGAGATCCTGATACAAGCCAATTCAACATCATTCAATATCGCCGTTTTCTCACAACCAGACACGGCAGGTGTTGCTGACATCTCTCCTTGGGCGTGCTAATGTGACTCTCTTCCTGGGACACGCACTTTACGCATCAGCCGCCGGACAAGGTTCTTCCTAGCTTCCGCCGTTGAATGGACCGGCTCAAGGCCAGTTTTCTCCAGAATACCATTGATACGGTTTTGCAGGCTCAGCGTTGCGCCAAGCCTTGTCGCGGTGCGTTAGCGGCGCTTTCTGCCGTCGGTTCTGAGAGCTTCCACCATTCTTTGAGTCTGGCCAATCAGGCGCATTGTCTCTGGTCGATGCTCGTGTTTCAATTTCGGCATCGTCGAATTGGCCCAGCTAGCTTTCACTCCAGGTGAACTGGGCGGGAGGGGCTGATCATCATGGGCCTGGGCGTTCTCCTCTCTCGAAAGCTCGCTGCTGTGGCGACCGCTTCGGGGCTAGCAATCTTTGGTTTTGTTTTTTGCTGCTTCTTTGGTTCTTTATGATTCGTTGCCACCTTGGTAATTGATTTCTTCAATCGGTATGCCCGCTTTGCATTCCTGCGTGCATAACTTTCGTGGCCTGTGCTTTGCGTGACCGTTTTTGTTGCTTTTGTAGTGACAGCATCTCCAACAGCAACATTCAAGCTGGAAGCTTGTGAATTTGTCGTTGTCTTCCTGGAGATGCGTTGATTCGCCTGCTTCTTCGGCTGTGAGGCTTTTGTGTCGTGTCTAGCGGGGCGGTTCTGTGCCTTGCCAGGATTTCCAAGTTTCGTCGAGGTTCCATCTCCCCAAGCCAGGCAAACTTCTCTGATCTTTGGCTCGACTTGCTGCCTTGCGTCTTCTCGCGCGACTCCTGATTTGAGTAGCGAATCATACTCGGTTTCGCAGTGGCGGACATGTGCTCGCACAGCCAGACGCACTTTGTGGTGTACGTTGAGCTTTCCCGCCCTGCCTACCTTTCCCTTGCCCTTCTTTAGCGCCATCTTCAACACATTTCGCAATGATTCAGCAGGAATCCGAGGGTAAATCTTCAGGACCTCCTTCTGAAAAGTCTTGGTAATAGTCTCATCTCGCTTCAACACATTGGCAGTCCTATCGGTACGGGTATTTATCTCTTGAAACTGCACGCCCACGTAAACGTCGGTTGGCACGCCGAGCCCAATTTGTTGCTTCTTCCCATCGATGACAACATAGACAGAGCGGCCACTTGCTTTTGTCAATCTTCGACAGTGGCCAGTTATGTAGACGTTACCCTTGGGCACAAATGAGTACCCAGAGGGAAGGGACTCTTTTGGTAGCTTGGTCTCGGACATGGTGTCTGGGTTTGTGCTCTGACTTGAGGGACCACTGAGCCTGATTCTTGTTGCATGTCGAACGCCAGAAGCACGAGGTCTCACAACTTCCAAGGGTCCATCACCTTGGCAAATTGTCAATTTAGAGGCGGCTTTCTGTGCGAAGAGTTCTTTCTGGGAAAGGCTTCTTCTTGGCTGCGCAGGAGCAAAAATTCTGGTAGTCGGGATGGGTTGAGGTGCTTCGGGCCCGATACAGTGTTGACCTCTTGTAAATCAGAAGGTGTTGAGTTGAGGATGTTGTGGCTGAATGGGAACTTACGAGAAGTAAGGTGAATTATGAATTGCTATCGATTGCAATCAAAACACCTAGGTGCTACTGAGCCGTGGAAGCGCTCAGATTAAAGAAGATAGACTTGGGAGAAGAGAGGTAACGTCGAACAAAGGCCTTCCAAGTTTTCCCTAAACCGGCAACAGTCCAATGCCCAACGATGGCAGGTTACAAAAGGAATGAACTGTACCCACGTTTGTGGAGGTGCTACACCAACAGCTAGAAATGAGCTTGAAAGTTGCCATCAAATGTGGCCACGTCAGGCTGGATGTCGACGCGGTTGTTGTTCTAAGCAACGACGCGTGTAGTCCAGGACGTTACCCCCCCCCCCCCCAGGGTTGTACCCTTGCAGTGCTAGGTATGCAGTTGGCCACCACAGACTTCCAAAAAATAGGCTTTCAACGTGGATTTTTCCATGCATGGATACCGTTCATTGTTTCCTTTTTCTTAGAATTCTCTGACTTCTCAAGGAACCGTAGGAGAATTCTTGGTTCTAAAAAAATCATACAACCAACACCCCAAGATCACAATCACACGCCTTGGTATTGTAAATATGCAGTGCTGCTTGTCAAGGTAGATCTTTTCATATCTCCATGGTCATGCACATCCAATAGTCAGAATGTGAAGAGTCTCGAGGACACTGGATAAAATCAGGCTTGCCACAAGCAGTACCATTGAATTATTTACAAGACTTTGCCTGCTACGTAGGCACCTCCAGGCGAGCCTTAACAAAACTTTCCCAATATCAGAAAACATACTTCTGGCCAGGTGAAGCCAAGCTGATGATTTTACGCTCAGTAAACTCCTCGACACCAGCAATGCCACCAAAGCGCCCATAGCCGCTGCTCCCACCAACCCCTCCGTTCGGCAGCGTCGCCTCGATGTACACTGTCGGCCCATTGACATGGCAGCTACCAGCCCTCACGCGCCTGGCGACGTCCAGCGCACGCATGACGTCCTTGCTAAAGACGCTCGCACAGAGCGAGAAATCGCTACTGTTCGCTGAAGCAATGGCCTCCTCCTCCGTGTCGAATTCGAAGAGGCACATGATCGGCCCGAATGACTCCTTGTGGAAGACGTCCATCTCCGGCGTGACGCCTTCCAGGACATGCGGCCGCATGATGGTCTTGTTTGGGCCCGAGATGGCCATGTCACCCTCGATGATCTTAGCTCCTTTCTCAACGGCTGACTCTAATAATTTCAAGACTCCCGCAGCAGATGCCGGCGTGAACAGCCCCGAGATAGATACGTCTGGGTCTGCGATGTGATTGCCCGTCTTTAGCTTCCCGATCCTCTCGAGCAACTTAGCCTTGAAATCTCCCATGATGCTCCGGTGCACAAGCACCCGCTCCGTGCTCATGCAGACCTGGCCCGAGTTGCTGAGCGCGCCGAACACGACCGACTCGACCGCGTCCCCGACGTCTGCGTCCGCGAGCACGATCACGGGCGCCTTGCCGCCCAGCTCCAGGACGCACCGCTTCAGCACCGTCGACGCCCAGCCGGCGATGATGCGGCCGACACGGTCGGAGCCCGTGAAGTTGATGCGCTGAACCTTCGGGTGCTTGACGGCGTGCTCGGTCACGGCTGGCGTCTGCGCCGGGCTGGTGGGCAGGAAGTTCAGACATCCTGGGGGCAGGCCGGCTTCGGTGAAGGCGCGCACGATGAGGTGCTGTGACTTCGGGCTGAACTCGGAGGGCTTGAGGACTATCGTGTTGCCGCAGATCATGGGGCAGGCTATTGCCCTGGCGGTTAGGTTTACCTTGACATACAATTAGTACATACTCTTCAGTTCAAAAATGTGAGAGCATTCGTCTTTGAGTAAGGTTATCCCATACAAAGCCAATAAAGCAGGGTTCAAGCAACTTCTTCTTCAGGTGAGAGTCGGGGTCTTACCGGCGCATTCCACGGAGCAATAGCAAAATTAACCCCAACAGCCTGCCTCTCGACCAGTATGGTCGTACCAGGCCGGTCAGCAGGAACAATCTCGCCCTTGATGTGCGTCGCGAGACCAGCGACCTCCCTCAGCACATTCACGGTCGACAGGATATTGACCTTAACCCAGGCCTTCGTCGCCGAGACCTCGCTCGAGAGCAGCTCGGGCGCGTCCTTGCCCATGTACGTCTCGAGGATGTCGGCGGCCTTGAGGAAGATGAGTCGCCTTGCGGACGGGCCCGTCCTGGACCACGTCTGGAAGGCCTCGTGGGCGGTCTCGATGGCCCGTGTGTAGTCGTCCGCTGTCGCCGACGCGCAGTCGTAGATCTTCTGGCCTGTCATTGGATTCGTCACGGGAAATGTGGCCCCGTCTGAGCTCCTCACGTACTTGCCGCCGATGAAGAGGAGCTGGTCGTTCTCGAGGGCTGTGTAGCCATTTTGGCTATCGCCGCCCGCGCTATCGTCCGCTGGCATCTTGTGCGAGTCGCTCCCGTACTTTTTTTGTCTTCTTTCTGCTGGAGTTGGCTTATGGCTTGTCATTGTGCAAGTCGTTAATTGCTTTCGGAAGAAATAGTGTTTTTACGCCACTGGAGTGGAAGTTGTGAATGTTAATAGTGCTGAGAAGCCTCGGCAGATGCTGGTCGTATGGTGGAAAAGAGATTCCCCGCTAGATCAGCGGCTTGCATGGACGTCATCGGTGGACGAAATGCTCTCCTGTATTGCGTTGTCTAGGTGTCATCACAATTCTTCGAGATGATCCCGTCTTCATGAGAGTTATGTCTGAAAGGAAATTTTATTTGATTCAATTCCTATCTCAACGCAAAACTACCAAGACTCGGTCGTCCTGGCCTGAGCTGTGACGACGAGGCTTCAAGAGCTCCGTATGTGGGGCCGAAGCCTCGGCGCCGGAGAGCAAGCTCTCCGGCGAAGTGGAGTCATGATTTGACTTCACCCGGTCAAAAACCCGCTGGCTCAACCAGCCAGGTTGTGTCGCTGACCCAACAATTTATTTCCAGTTTGAATAATCGATCGTGTCCAACTCTTCTTTGAAATGACAAGGTCAGTTCCATCACGTCCCAGAGACCTAATTGTGCTATCATTGCAGGGATGTGGTTGTCAGGTCCTCATTTATTTGATGTTTCCGCCCTGAAGGAGGGACTGCCACCCAATTCCGAGCGACAGCGTGAATAATTGTGATGGGATCCAGAAATGGGTGTCTCTGTCCACACACCACTTTTCCAGGATAGCTCGCTGTTCTTCTCTGTCCAGATGTCCCCCTGGCATGACAAGCGTGGCAAGTGCATTTATTGCGAAGCAAAAACCAAAGACAACCACGGTGACTACTTCTAGTAATGGCTGTACAAAGTACCTTCCGGATCTGTGAGATGAGTAGAGCAGGCAGTATTGGTTCAATACAGGGCGGTGCACGTCGGAACAATGAAGCGATTCAGAACATGAGGCACGAGAATGACTCGTGATCTTGCTGAACGGTGGTATCGCCGTCAGTTCTGTCTTTAACCTTTTAAGTCTAATCTTAACCCCAGAGTATTTCCACAGCACCCCCATTCCATGAGGTCGTTATCGATGGACCAGGCATCAGCGAACTTGATGCTTAGCCGCTTGCGTGCAGGCCTGACTCAGAATGATGGGCTCATTTGCTTGGTTGTTGCGGTGATTGAGTTATCAGATTAGCTTTAAGGTTAGCGTTGATCCATCGTTGCTCCAGATCCTCTTTCGGGTGTTCCTGAGCAGCTCGGTTGTCTCCGCATCCTGGTCTAGAACATCTATATCGGGCCCGAAACCTCGCACTCTGTCAGTTTTAATTTCGTTAGGTCGATTTCGGAGTCCACACATCCTCGCTATCTAGTTGGATTGGATTGGTTGTTTATCTGACCCTCTGTGGTATCCTCGCTTTCTCGAATGATCATGGAGGAGAAGCAGTAGGACTTCTTTTGCCCCAGAATTTGAGTGCCGGTGACTATTCTCTACTTCTCCGCAGACACCCACTTGGCGCCAAACTAACAAAATTACAGTTGACAGAGTGTAAGCCCAACAGCCGCACTAATCGCATGAAGTCTCAAGGGTCCATAGATATTTGCGCAGTTAGGGCAACTATTGGACTGGTCTCACGTGCAATGAACGTCTTCTGAGAGCAAATTCGGGCGAGGGCTACCCGAAGAGCGTTTCTCTGCGAGCTCATTAGCTGAGTGGACATTGGGCATGACTGAAAACGTCACTGCCGTGTACCTGACATTAGCTGGAGCCCCGTAGGGTGCTCTCCGGCAAGGCGGAAAGTTGCCCCTGCAACCAATGGGTCACTGGACCCGCGCCCAAATCCCGTCCCGCAGTGCATGACTAGTGTACTAATGGATGTCGTTCTCTTTGTGATTTACACTCAAGGGTACATGAACACAAGCCGGCAAGATCCGAGCTGAGTCATTGTCGCTGGACTGCTCTCACCCAATGTCAACATTTGAGGAAATTACACCTCGTTTCACTGTGTCAAGAGAATGGCACTTGGCCACGTGGGCAAGGTGAACAGTGGGGAGGAGCTTCGAAGCGCGTTCTGCTGTCATCCCAACCCCGCGGACGCCCCATTCTGGGCGGAAGTGGCATGTCTTGGCCACCGTAGCTCCATCCATCCCCCTGTAACTTGCAGTTCGCTTGGGGGCTACGGAACGAACTGTTTACGACGGGACTTGAGACGCCATCAAAATATGAAATGGAACAATCTTGAATGGGTATTACAACTTTTTGTCAAAACTAAAGAAAGCAGTATCATGAAGTCGCAATGAAAACCCGGAAGTCAAAACAGAGGTGTAGTTGAACAGCAATTGATTGTTTTGTCGAAGTAAATACGGCAGAAATGAATATCTACGTCCAGAAGAGAATCCGACTACACTATGGTATCAATTATTTGTATCTATTAAAGCGCTTTCCATAACTATTCCTTCCGCAATTTTGAATCCTTTAATTGGCCTCAGCTCCCTGGGTGCCGCACTTCTTCTCGCAGTAGTAGGTCATCTAAAGCAAAGCATTGGTCAGTGCTTCATCCTAGGTGCTGTAGAGCTGAGCTACGACATACCTCATCGCCACCGATGTGCCAGCCGGCGGAATTGCACTGGAGACCATCGAAAGTGCAATCAGGGCACTTGTCCCATTGCTTGTTACCAGTGTTGCGGTTCTTGTAGTAGCCGCAGGCACATTGGGTGCCCGCAGTGTCGATTTCGTAGTCCTTGTAGGAACCGTAGGTTATGCCATAAGGTGTACCATTGCCAGTGCTGCCGTACGTTCTGCTTTTGACGCAGACAGCCGAGCTGTGGAGCTTAGCGAACGTCCTGAAGTCAAATCAGTCAGTACACCCGTGCACCATGACGAAGATCGCGTGGAGGTGTAACATACACGGCGGTAACAACCGCAAAAGTGGCGAGCGTGGAGATCTGCATTTTGGCTGTGCGTTGGGGAAACAAAGGGAGAGGGCCTTGGTTGAAGATTGGACAACTGAGTCAAGTGGAAAAGATGATGTAGAGAAGAAGATTTGACGAGTGGTTTGAGCTCAGTTAAACGGAACGGCGAAACTGATAGTTGAAATAAATCTTCGGTTTGGGGAGTAATGAATGGCGTTGAAAGGTGTTCGCCTAAGGATGCTGATAATGATATCTCGTAATCACTCTGCTTTGTGCGTTTTCCTCGTTGAATCGTGGGCAATCTATTGGACGCTATCTATCGAGAATTTTGCTCCTTCATCACGACGTCGAATTCCGTAATCTTAGTGCTATTTGCGGGTGATGTCTAACGCGCTATCACATTGGAAATTTGTCAAGCCTCTATCTCAAGAAGGTTGACCGACTACTAAGTCACTCTCGTGACGGTTGCTGAGTCGTGTGGTATGGGGGCCGCTAGAGTCGATTAAGAACGACAACACGACACTGGCTGATCCTTCCTGATTCGGATCACATTGAAGGCGTGCCACACAGGTTCTCAGGAACAGTTTGTTACGACGAGATACCAGAATGGAGAAAGTCAACCCCTGAATATACCAGGAAAGGATCTCAAATCTGGTTGGTTTGCTCCACCCAACGGACAAGGTCCAGGGTGAACCGTCCTGCAGGAACATGCTTGTTGAGAACGTGCTCGACTAGCCATCAAACTTCGGATGAACGCAATCGCACCTCCAGACGACCTACACGGCGGCCGGTGGGCGGGCGTGCCACTTCGCTGATCATTGATGTGACTGTCTAAGTTTATCTCATGAGTTGCAAACACTAAGTCGGGGCGCTCTTTCGAATATCTATAAAGCCTCTCGAGAATTCCACCGGATAGGACCTGTTTCTCATCACTGTCAACCTCATCCACTCACTCCTCTCTTGCGAGGCATCTCCGGTCTTTCTTGCCCAACATGGTTTCTATTCGCCTTATCACCCTCCTGTCGGCCTTCGCTGCTGCAGTCAGCGCCGCCCCGGCCCCTATAATCGACGAGAGCGATGCCGCCCTCAACATTACTGAGACTGCCGACCGAGACCTCCGTAACGGAGAGATGATTGTTTTCGGAAACAATGGCCGCAGTTAGTTCACCTCCAGAAGTCTGGTGAATCGGTTCGTACTGACTTTGCATGTGTTGTGTAGCTGCCATCATTACCGAAGCCACCTGGAAGCTTCTGCTGAAGGTTGAGGGCATCGACGCGGAGACTCCCGAGATCGACCACGACTACCTTAAGGCTGGCGAGGGTCTTGCTGAGATCCCTGTCAACCACACCGACGTCGCGCTCGGCAAGCGTGACTGCAACGCCAACTACCAGTTCGTTGTTGACCGCCAACAACGTTTCGTCGACTGGGACGTGCAGATGTCCCCCGTCGTCATCGGTGCCGGCAGCAAGGGCATCGACATCACCATCTCCAAGTCCTACGCGATTTCCAACGGCGTTACTGCGGGCGGTTCTTTCGACATTAGCAAGCTGGTTGAGAAGCTCGGTCTCACCTTCAAGGTCGACTACTCGCGCACCTGGACCACCACCCAGGGTTACCTCATCCGCGGCACCGTCGACGCTGGCTACACTGGTGTCGTTATCACTCGCCCCTGGACCAACCGCAAGTACGGCCGCACCTTCCAGGGCTGTGTTGGCGCTCTCCACCAGACCGGTACCTTCATGGCCGACTCTCACGAGGATGGCTCCTACGAGGGTGTCACCTGGGTCGGTGGTGCCATCACTGCCTGCATCAAGAAGCAGAGCTCCATCCCTCTGTCCCGCTGCAACGGCAGCGGCAACTTCCGATAAACGGCTTCATACTGCTTTGAACGTCTCGAACTTGAGGTATATCATAATCGCAGGCTTCCGAGTTTTATCTGCAGCGGCATCTTCCACCGCAGTTCGCAACGCGGAACCGCGGTGCATTGTGAGCAAATTGGGAATGAGGGAACGTGGTTACCCACACTAAACTTTGTAAACACTTCTTCTCCTGTACTTAGTCTTGGTACAATGAACATATTGTAATAATGGCCATCTAAGGCCATAATAAATCGAAGGGGTACCCAAATCCTGCTTGTTCCTGTCCTGATATAGTGAATTATTCCCTCTGTAACAACTTCTCATTCGTTGTGGAATATCACATGCAAGTCATGGGCCTGAAGAGCTGAGCATGCCTGAGCATCTTCATTACCTCGGAGTGGAATGCGTCAAGCCGCAATTACGTCTGCCACATGTGCTGTTCGGCTCGGAGAAGATTGTCCACAGCGAATGACATAGTTGTCGGTTCTACCTCTCAATAAAGACATGAGAAAAAAAAATTGTCACATGTCACCCAAATAGTTAGCTTCGAGAAGCATTGTAAAGGTGGGCCTGGGCGGCTCGTTTCCGGAGTCTATACGTTGTATTCCATGTCGCATTTCTATGCAGTAGATGGTGTCAATTAATTCCTTACAATCTCTAATGGGTTCTGACGAGGTTGAATTGAGGACTTTGATGAAACTAATATCCATGGCCGTAAAAACCCAATTCATCCCACGATATTCAGTCAAAGATTCGATGAAGAACTGTAGAGTTGATAAGCAATCAAGAGGAAATGACTACACCGTGAGGAGAGGGTTCTAACTAAAATACGTTTCCTATGAAGAGACTACTTGCCTCGACTCAATATTGGTGAGAAGGTGATGTTCCAAATTTGCAAAAGAAGGGTGAGATCGGTAGGGCTGATGACAGTCATTTGCTCTATGGTGCGCAAAAGAGCGGCTAGAAGCATCACGAGAGGAATTCAAATGCATTTACTATGACAAAACTTCTTGCAATTGTAGACTAATTTAAAAGACAACAAAATTGGGCCGTTTGAAATAGTCTAAAGATCAACGTTAGGAGCAGTCTCCGATTACTCAACATAGCCATACTGTCATTATTTGAGACAACGTGATGGACAACTTGATATCCGCAAAAAGTATTAAAACTAGACCGCAAAATTTCCCTCGCACAACCAGAAGATCTCAACAATTAAATGTTCTCAGCGGGAACACCTACTTTCCGCCCTGGCGAAGAGTGAATGCAATGCTCGGAGCTGTGACAAGATTCCGCCGCCTTTTGTGTTTTCAAATGCCAAATGTCAGTTCCAGCCGATCAGATCACTATTGCTTAGTGACGTTAAGTACGTCTCGGAGTATTCCATAGTAATCCAGGATACTTGACAAAAAAAACATACAACACCGGGCATTCGCCGGTCGTCACCGACCCGACTACTACTCCAGCCCTCATTAGCTTATCTATGGGAGAGCGGACGGGATCCCGAGTTGTCTAATGGGTATGGTCGTATGTGACAGACACAGGAGCGAGTAGGACTAATACCATGATGTGTTGTGACGAGAATTGGGCGGTCATACGCAACGAACCCTGAGATCAGACGAGGCTGAGTAGCGGAGGTCCAGCGGATGTTACACACTCAGCTCGCAACCAATTTTATGCCCAATCTCACATGGGATATCGCCCTTCTCATCCGCTTTCTCCACAAATCAGCTGAAGATTCCAACATGATTGTAGACGACATAACGCGTTACCCGCCATCAGGGTTGAATATCCATCATTGTCGGTGCAGGTCCTGGAGGTCTATTCGCTCCTCTCGAATGTTGGAGAAAATGGCACAATGTCTGACTCCTGGGAAAATTATCTGAATCATCGTCTATAGGTACGTTTTTGGTCAATTCCATGCTGAAATTTGGTGAATAAGTATGTCGGTTGACATCGTGTCCCTGGGTCCGTTAGCCTGGACCACTCTCATCATTGTCCACAGATGCTAAGAGAACACAATAAGTTGAGAACTGATGCCAAAATTATGCCATGTCATAACGATCTTGCCATCAACGGAGTTTGAATTCAACAGAGAAGGCGTGGCGATGCATGCAGCGTTTCCGCTGAGGGTAAGTGGGGTCTTCGGACCCTGAGCGCCTCTGACGAGCCAGTAGTATTCCCCAGGGCGTCGGCCGGGGCGTTCATGGTTGCCAATCGTTTGGTGCCGAAGGCTATTGAGGGCTGACGGGAAAGAGTACTTGGAATCCGGCCAAACGGCATGGCGGTGTTTTCTTATATCGCGATACAAGGGTATAGCCTGATCACGCGGCGCTTATCGGCTGAACCGGCGTTGAAGTTCAAATAAGCTAAGTTTAGCAGCGGGAGCGGGTTATATAATAGATCCCGAACGCTAAGCATATGGGAGGGGCTGATGTTACCGACTTATTGCCAGTGGAAAGAAACATCTTTACAGCCCAGTAGGGGGGCTATGAAACTGTATAAGAAGTCAGAGACATCCCGCTCTCAAAAGTGATAAGTCCAGTTATCCAATACGTCCAAGGCCCAAGCCTGCTTATTTGATACCACCCTTGATTTCGTATACGCCCGCGGTTTTCCACCGTCGCTATTAATTTGTCTTTCATACGACCGACCTCCGCCTTAGATTCACGTGCCAAATATGACGAGCCCCGAGACTATGCCTGAACGATGGGCTGCGGCTTGGTCCAACAACGATTCAGCCGCTTTCGCAAAGCTCTTTGCCCCACAGGCTGTGTACACCGACCACGCGTATCAGCTTATCATAACCAAGATAGAGAATCACCACAGGGGCTGGCGGAGGGCCAACCCCAACTTTAAGGCTATTCTCGACCCTTCGACGCCGATCTGGTGGGCTAAGGACCATTCCGAAAACGACAGAAAAATGAGCTGCAGTTTCAGGACCATCATGACCGGGACGTTTTCAGAGTCGCTCCCATCAAAGCCGGCATCAGGCAAGGATTGGTGCTTTTCAGCAATGGTACATTTAGCCATGGAAGACGGGCTGATTACACGGTGTGACGAGTTTTACCGAGATAGTTTCGACATGGGCGTCCCGGTGGAACAATTCACCCGAGTTAATTAAACATAGGATAGTGAGAGAAGAAAATCTCAATTATTAATTATGAAAAAGCCAAGTATGCTTACAAGAATACCAAAGCTGTGAAGATTCGAACTCTGGGATTCAATATGGAAGAAATAGTTCTCAAAAGAATTTGGAGGGGTGCGAACTTTTGTATGGCCATCTTCATCAAAGTCTATTATATGCGACGAAATGCGCAGCGTGACAAGATTTGGAATGCCATGAGCGCCGACGAGAAGGACCATTACCTTGCTACAACCACCGATGAAGGCAACAAGCGTCTCGATTTCCGGTTCGCACACTGAATCTCGGGCATACAAGGGGATTTAGTTGATCAATTTTCGCAAATTTACGTCAGGAAGTAGATTCGATGGATAGAGCGGCTCGAACCTATATGTAGAAAACGAGAGTACCTAGGACAAAAGCTCCACAAGCGTAGTATTCATCCGTCGTCACCCCGTGCATGACAATATGTTTAGTTTTAGCAAAATACAACGGTTCATCGGATTGATTTTCTTTTAAATATAGTTACTGGATTCTAAAATAATACAAAATAACGCAGTCACTACTCTGGCCACAACCTGGGTCCGGAGCCAGGCGGACCGAGCCAGAGCGCGGTAGTAATGCTGGCAAATGCTGCTATGATTGATAAACTCCAGGTCATGGTCGGCCAGTCGCTGGCATCCCTTATCAGGCCCGCAATTATGGGCCCTAAGAGGCAACCTCCCGCGAAAGCAACGTTGAACAGACTGTAGGTCTGCGCGTATGCACCTTTTTTGCCAAACAAACCAGGCCTGTCGCGCTCTATGTCTCGGAGGGCAAACGTTAACTCGACCAAAACAGGAGTCATGATGCCATTCACGACCAACCCAATGCCAACAAGCAAGACACACAACACCACGATCTGAGAGGTGGAGTCATGCGTGACGAAACGCAAGAGGACAAGGAGAGGGACTGTGCAGACGAATCCGCCAGTGGCTAGCCAGCGGGAACCATACCGGTCGGCAAGCCAGCCTGCTATTGGTTCGAGGAAGGATGGAATTGCGATCGGAAGAAAGATCAATCCAGCCCCCAGACTGTCCCAATGGAAAGTGGTTGTGACAAATATCGGAAGAACAGCGTCGAACGCGGTGAGGAGAATCGACACGGCAAGGGCAGCCCACAGAGTCGCCAAAACTCGAGGAGATGAGAGTAAGACTAGGAAGGCTTGGCTTCTTTCCGCAGCTCCTCCCGTCGTGCTTACGGTCGAACGAGTATGGCTGATGACCTGGCGTACGCTAGACTCAGTATTCCCAACGTCTGCTCTCTCTTCATCGGGGGAGTTGGTTCCTTCCGGCTTCTGTTGTTGTGTCACCTCGGGATGATCGTCCTCTTTGATCCACTTCGCAGCCACTTGCTTCTCAATCATGACCAGTCGCAGCACGATGTCTATGGCGAGAAGGCCAAAGCACATGCCAAACACAGCGTAGTATCCTGCTCGACTGAATACGATGCCACCTAGCAGAGGCGCGAGGAGCAACCCGAGCCCCATCGAAATGCCGGTGGTTCCCAGCATCTGACCAGTCTCATCCTGGTCAGCCGTGTCTACGAGGAGCGCGAGGCCCACCGACCATACGACGGCGGCGGAAACACCTTGACATATGCGCCCGGCGATGAACATGCCGATGTGCGACGCGGCCATCAGGATCGCAGTGCTGGCCGCGAGGGCGAAGAGCCCAATGAGAAAGGGGACACGCCGGGAGGAAGTGTGATCAGCTAACCACCCAGTGAACGCTATCCAGGCGCTATTAGTCGTCCAGACCAACATGCATCACGGATGAAGAAGGAATGCTCACGAGATGCGACAAGAACAGCTGCTCCATATACGGCGAGCAAGATTGATACCCATCGTTGCACTGGACAACAGAGTTAGCGAGATGGCCCATCCTCTGGGAAGTAAACACAGAATGGTTGCATTACCGTCTTCCTTAGGTATACCTGCCCTATCATGAATAGCAGAAGGTATCACAGGCACGATGACTCCATATAGAAACAAATCCTGAATATCGAAGTTAGCTAAATTTCGAAGTGACGACTAGCAGATGCCAATGAGTAAGTGAGGCCACGCACGGTGAAGATGGCAACGCAGATCGAGGTGAGGATAAGCTTCTTGCTACTCCTGAACGCCAGCGCCACGGGCGGCTTTTGGGAATGGTTCCTCCCTAACGACTTCATTTCTGTCGGAAGCTCTAAAGTTGCCTTCGGAGTGAGGACGGGGGCAGTGTTGGAAAGTGAAGTTAATGGTCAATCGTTATTTACGAACGGGTAGCTTCCTAGTAAATAGGATATATGTAATTCTTATTAGCTTAGGTAATTAACCTATCTTTCTCTGCTTGCTCCAGCAGATTCGGAACTCGGAGCCCACGGGCTGCGAGCCCCATTCTTTCGGGGCCCTCTCGGCGTCGAATCCGTGCGTTCTTGCAAACATACCTCCTTGAAACCACAGCTCTCGATGACGAGTAGCGAGGCCGATCACGGTGTTTCGTCTCCTAGCAGAATCTTGCACGAAGAGTCGGTCAAGGAATGTTCCCATGGAAATCGCAGCGACGGAAGTGATAATCACGAAGCGCCGGGATCAAGCAAGTCTTCGGCAGCCAATTTGGGTGGCAGTTTTCCCAATACACACCACTATTTTGGACCGGACCCATAGATTACACCCTTTACCAACCAAAATCTCATCAAGGATAGTGGGTAGACTTTGGGAAACTGACTAATAAGCCAATATTTGATTGGCGCTGGCGTAACAAGAAACCAGATGTCGGACAAATCTCAGCCAGTCAAGCTTGGCGCGGCTTGCTCTGACAGGAACGAAACGTCATGTCGAAGGGTTGTATGGGCGGATGGGGCGACATAATTCCGCTAAACCGTAAAGAGTCAACAGAGTGCACTGAAGAAACTGAAGATCATCTCCAGCTCTTGTGAGCTCAGCATTGGCTGAGCAGAGACAGCTTGCGCAGCTTCCTTTTACAGTTCTCGGTTCCCTTCGTTTCATGATCTGAGTTTGCTTTGTTGGATGCTCGACCCCTATTGTCTTCCGGCTGCTGTCAGGCATGTTTCCAATAATACCGGCGTCTTTAATTGACTATGGACAGCTGGCGCTGAGACGCATTCTGGAACAGTCCGAATCACAACGGAATGAGCATCATCATGAAATCTTTCCGACACGCTGATCAAGCTTAGGTAGATCACTTTGTTTGATATCTAATGCCATGGGCAGTGATTACTCACATGCAGAGATGGACAAATAACTTTTAGTCCATATGAGACAGCGACATTTTCTTCATATGAGACAGCTTCAACTGTCAGTTCAATTGATTCTCTGTTTTTGTTTTCGTTTTCTTCAATGCCGACTGGTTCGGCAGGACTGGCTACTGGATAGCTGTTTTTTCCCTTATCATTTTCTCAATTTCTCATCTGAATTGTATTATTTGCATTTTTTGAAATTTCACAACAATCTTTTCCAATCGAGAGACAGAAAAAAAGAGAAAAAGAAAAGAGAAAAAAAGGGAAGCAACTATGGGTTGGGGTGTAGTCGAAAGCGATGTCAACAAGTTCCCTCCGGGGACTGTGAACTTGGTGAACAAACCAGATGGTAATGAGTTGTCCTAGAGTGTGTATCGTTATTTAAGAAGTCTAACAGATATACTCGATACAGACGAGATTTTGGCAGTCCAAGTTGGTGTCAAGAAACGGGGGAATGTTATCCTTCAACCGCAGCCAAGCGACAGTCCTAACGACCCTTTGAATTGGTAACAATGCTTGAGTGAATAACGACGACGAACTCCCAAGAAATTGCTAAGAACGCATCAGGTCTCAATCCCTCAAAATCGCTCACGTGTCGGTCCTCGCCTTTCTGTCCGCTGCGGCAGGTGTGTAAGTCAATACGCTCGCCGCAACCCGTACAATTGACTGGCACGACAAGCTAATATGCGAGATTCTACCAGTGTTCCTGTGATGATCCAGCCAGGCTTAACTATTCTTGCCGACCAATTTCAAGTGTCGCCTGACACTGTTTCTTCCTTGACAATCGGGGCTCTGGCGTTTTGGACAGCGGTTGCAAGTTTCGTCGTCGTGTCTGCAGGTGCTGTCTGGGGGAAAAGACCACTTTATGTGACTAGCGCCTTGGTGTTAACTATTTCTAATCTTATAGCCTACAAATCGGATGTAAGAAAGACCCGAATTCGCTTATTCGCTGCTTCGCTCTGCTGACCAGGTCAAACACCCAGAACTTCGGGTTACTTGTTGCCATGCGAACAATTACCGGCTTGGCGTCGGCCCCTGGTTTCTCGCTTCTCACGGCTACCATAGCAGATATCTTCTTCGTCCACGAGCGGGGCTTCTACATAGCCATATGGAACATCTGTCTCGGGTCTGGCGGACAGATTGGGTGCGTACTATAGACTTAGCTTCCAGTAGCGATAGGAGCGGTACTAACACAACTATCATACACAGACAGGTTATTTGCGGATTCATTATCGAGGATCTCGTGTCCCTGCAGTGTTTGGGTTTGCCGCAATCGTCTTTGCTCTTCTCATGGTGGCATCGTACTTCCTTGCCCTGGAATCTACATACGACCGACCAGAACCAAAAGCCATTGATTACGATAGCAAAGATGACTTCGACTTCGAGGACGAGGAAGACCTAAAAGCTCCTAGGGCATCACAAGTCAAAAAACCCTACTTTCAGCAACTCGCACTTTGGAACGGACGGCTGAGCAACCAGTCGTTCTGGCTTGGAGTCGTGAAGCCTTTCGGTCTGATCGTATTCCCAGCCGTGGCCTATGGCGTTCTTGCTTTCACAGTAGCCTTCTCCTTCCTCGTCGGCGTCCCCATATTAACCTCGGTGGTCTTTGCTCAGCCCCCATACAACCTTACGCCCTCGCAAATCGGCCTCACCAATCTTCCACTCGTTGCTGTATCTATCATTGGTGGCCTCTTCACCGGCTGGTTCGCCAACGTGGCAGGCAACTACATGGCGAGGACGAACGGCAGCCAGGCGGGCGTGTTTGAGCCGGAGTTCCGCTTGGTCCTGCTGGTCATATCTGGCCCGATCACTACAGCAGGCCTCATCGGCACCGGCATAGCTCTTGATCAGGCTCTTCCGCTGGCGTGGGTCCTGGTCTGGATGTCAGTGTTCTCCTTCGGTACCTTGTTCAACGTGCAGGTGATTCTGACGTACGTGGTGGACTGTTTCCCGGAGAAGTCCGGGCAAGCCTTCTCAACTATCAACCTTGTTTCGTCCCTTGTCATTTTCGTGGGCTCCGGAGTTTTGATCACATGGTACGAGACGGTAGGGCCCATGGTTGTGTTCGGGTCCCTCGCTGCTGCGAGCTTCATCACATTGGTCACAACCATACCTCTTTACGTATTTGGCAAGAGGATGAGAGCTTATATGGCTGGACTTGAGTGGACACACAAGCTTCTGAATTGAGGAATTTGAGAAATCTGGGGGCTGGTATATACAACCCTCGATAGAATTTGTAATCACAAGTACCTCCCGTGTTCCTTACAAATACCATCCATCTACTACAACTTGAGGAACATGTGGTAATACAGCTGGCCCATGCATATATATATATATTTATGTGTGCGGAAGACCTTCGTAGACAACTCTTCCGAAGGCAGATACTGATTTAGCAATGTCACTGTCTCCAGAGTTGTGTTGATACGAAGCTATCCACAACTCTGTTCCCCATGGAGGCAGCCCTGGGAGCCGTCCACCTGGAAGGGATTTTTGGCAACCCCCGAAAACATCTTGAATTACACCTCCATGGCAAATCCGACGAAGATCTCGGAAGAAACCTCGTGATCCCCGGCCACCTCTCGGCCACCTCTCGGCCACCCCTAGTCGTCCACCCTACGAAGCCCAGTACCCACTTTGCACCGGATCCATGGCTCAGGCACGTGTTCGCCAGAGACAGCGAGGTCCAGGAGCACGAGCCACTATCCGGGGGCACCGAAAGCGACGCTCTTTTCGCGGTGTTCAAGGAGCACTTGAGCAACGTCCCCGCATATTGCTCTCTCTTGAGCTCTGAGGTCTCATAGGGGCTTGAGGCCAGCAAGGGAACTGAGTGAGTTATGTCTCTCGTTCTACACAGGCTCCTTGGTGCTACTGGTCATTTTGCTGACATTGTATGGTGATTGATAGTGAAGAGACCCTTGGGGCGGCGGGCTGACGGTATGGTGGCATTTTACGTATCGAGCCGCAGTGGGGACATGGGGCCAGACTGTGAGGCGTGCGGGTTGTTATGAGCTGGGTGAATGCGGCCGGGTGGTGGTGGGAAGGCCTCACGAGGTTCAACTTTGTTCCGTGTTGTAGACTATATGTCTCTATCGATCAGCCCCGGGTTTGTTCATGGCAGTGTATTGAAATGAAGGTTTCACAATCCTATTTAAACCATGGCAAAATAGAGTATATTGTAACGATGAGCATTTAGAGTACCGCCATATAGGAGTCACCATGACAAAGGATGATCAATGCAATGCACTGGCACGAGTGACTGTTTGTGGCGTCGGAGATTTTGGGATTCGAGTGGTTGGGAGGGGGGTGGTTGCAGTGTAAGCAAAGAGCAATTTGACCGGTGTCACAGTACCCCTAACCCTTGTATCAAACTTCAAAATGCAGCAGGAAGTTGGTGGATTTGGTCCACAAATCTGTCCCCAAGACAGTCTTCACAAATCTATCATCATCATTGTGAGCCATCTTGGTCAATATCTGTCAGCTGCGAGAAGCATCTGATGCTTTTTCGATGATGCGACCATTGGCGTGGAGATGCATATCACGCCGTGGGCACGCAACGTGGCACGATCCCCGCGCGCAACGCCACAGATTCTATACAGCTTGCATGTCTGCCAGACTGGACTACCATCCTCACCGGCAGCCCCTGAGCCGATCGTACTCGCAACATGTCCAGGTCAAGACGGAAGGCATCGCTGACGAACCAGCGAGGCACGGACGTGGTTCGTCTGAGCTTGATATGGAATGGCCCTGGGACGACATGTCGAATTTATCTGTTGCAGAACAGGAAGCCCGATTTCAGGTGCACAAGATGGGTCACATATGGAGCAGGATCATGCAACCTTGCCCTGTCTGTAAGTGGCCGCACTCGATCGCGGACTGCCCCTTGATCTTCGAACACAGCCCTATCAAACCCTCGCGGATACGTGAGAGACGAATCGCATTCCAAGAGCGAATGGAAAAGTCCCAGGAGTTGCATGAGACGGTGATGTATTTAAGAACAAAATTCACACGTAGATTGCCCTCGGGCAATCTTGTTCCACTACCGCGGTCCAAGACCCTCGATGCGCCACCTCTGGCAAGAGGTAATATGAATTTCCCTCTCGTCAATGCTTCATTACATTAACTCTCAGTTGGCTCACATGATATTGAGTGGAATAGAATACCTCTCAAAGTTTGATTATTCTGTGCGGTTCCTTCGCAGCCGGATCAACGACGACTCGAACTTTAGAATTCGGCCAGAGTATTCCTATTACACGGGATATTACCCGACAACCGATGATGACGGAAGACCGTTTCTGATTCTGTTTTTCAATTCCGCTCGTTTCGATGACGCTATGCTATCCGGTATGTCTGCCCTCTCTCTTCATCTAGCACCTGCGCATATGGTACGACAATAATGTCTGCATGGTCCCCAGAGTCACTTAAGAGCTATGGTCATGAGACTGGGAAGGTTTCAGATGTCGTCGAAAAGGTTGCCCGACTTACTGGAGTACACCCGATCAGATGACGAGGTTTACTGACAAGCCAGTAAGAGATCAAACTTATACGTACTTTCGTGGCTCAGTATAACAGAGGGACGAAGGTAACATTCAAACGATGCTGTTCAGGCGGTCTGAGCTAAATGAGCTTTTGCAGTCTTTACTTGGCTCCTCCCCCGAGCTTGACACAAGACCGATTGGCATTGTAATAGTGAGGTACGTGACATGCATCTCTGGCTATCGCCACCCACGTTTTGAGTCCTTCTTGTTACAGAGCCATTCATTCATGAATCATGTTGGAGGAAAGACCTAGCAGCTGATTTACATACGTCATTAGCGGACGGTGGCACACATCCCGCAGCATCGTTTCGTCTGGTATCCAGTGTCTAAATCTCATCATCGCGAGTGAGCATAACTGGTATCACGGTGATCTTCGGTGGGGCATCCATGTCGGAACTGAAGACAACAAATTGGACGGTGTGAATCCCTATTGGAGCAGCGGATCTCTGGTGGATTTGGTCGGCAGAACTGGCCCCTTCTATCTCGACATTGCGGCCGACACCAAGTATGCCGTTGACGAAAACAAGACTGGCTGGGTGATTAGAGCCGCGGTTGCGCTTCTGAGAGATGTTAGAGAACCGGTCGAGCACTTCCTCGGCATAGAGGGCAGAGAGGGCATGATCGAGAATTACTACCGCATATGCACATGGTGGAGAATGCTCCTTCCCCGCGCGGCAGCGCTCTATGGTCTGGATAGCCCCCAGTATAGGGCATTTCTAGGTACTCTTGGGCACCCCTCCGACAGGCGGAAGGCAGAAAATCCGGACATCTTTGGGCTCGCCGCCCTGCCGAGATGGAAGCACATTCTATCGAGGATTTCCTTGGCAGATAAACCATATGATGACCAGGTCATATGGAGAAGCATTTTCAGTCAGAGAGAATACAGAGGAGGCGCGGACTGAGGGACTTAATCACAGTTTTCTCAGGATCTTCACCGCCTCCGCCGCCGACCGCATGGATTTATGGCGGCTTTGATTGCTCGCGCCGCCGGCAAATTCCGCGTACATAAAAGGCATTCAAAGGTTTGCTTGCTTCCGAGGTTTTGTGTCGGTCTCGATATTCAGTGAGAACCTACGAGGAAGATACCTCGCTCTTGTAAAAACAATACAGAATGAGAGATTGTCATATTCGTGATGGACTTTGCGGTGAATCTCGAGACGGGGCTATTCCTGTATCGTCTCCATGACGATTTGTGGGTGAGGCCGGGCCTTGAAGAAGACTGCCAAAGCATGGGCGACGATGAAACGCCTCGCCGAGGTTACAAATAAAAGACGGTTGCGTCTACCTCGTCAAAGCAGAAGAACGTTGCAACGTGGTGATTACAGAACCTCGTTTCTGCGGGACAGAAGTAATATATCAACCATCCTGCGAGACAATTAAAGTTATAATCTCGTCCGCTTATAGGGCAAGGCAACATCTTGTAAAAGTAATAGCTTAGTAACTGGCTCAATACCCTTTCTTCCAGATACTTTTAGTCTTTGATAACAGAGTTCTCTACTGTATTTAAATAACTTCATCGGAGTGACTTACTACGGCGAAACCACGCTGAAACGATCACAGCAAAATAACTGCTACAGCAAAATGACCACAGCGAAACAGACACATGTTATAAACCCATGTATATGACACCCAGGGGATCCGTTTGGGTGACCCAGCCAACCCAGACAGGATGCCATGACACAGAATCAATAGCACTGGGGTGCGTAGATGGGTAGAATACGCATTTCTAATGTATTCTCCGTGGTTGTGACTAATTTAGCGTTACTCAACTATGGACCCCCACACGCATGGGCAGTGTAACCTTCAATCATAGCCAAAGAGAAAAAAACAAGGAAAAATACAAACAGGTCCGTCTAAGCTGGGCCAGATGTTCAATAAGCTCTGTCATATCCAATTTGGGCCACGAACACTCACCAAGCCAGGAATGGCATCTGCATGATCTCATAGCCCATTCGCAGTTAAGTAGTCAAAGATGACATGGAAGCCGGCAGACGCATTGTAGTGCAGCGTGAGCGCGTGGCCAGTATTAGGCTGAAGGTAAGAGGACGGATTGACCGCGCCCGGGAAGAGTACCTGGATGAGCTCTGGGCTCCCGATGCCATTGCAGTCGCTGCCGCAGCTCGGAAAGTCGTACTCGCCAGTGATGAACTGTTTCGAGGGGTAGTTTGTCAGTGCTTTGCAGGAGACCATCACCACCACAATCATCAACATCAAGAACCACCGACAAGAACTTCCAAAGTGGAGTATGGGGAAAGGGGCGAGAGAAGTCACCAATCATACATACCTGAAGCGGCCCCTGAAAGTCCGTAGCAGGCCCAAACACAACGCTCTCAGAAGCATACGTCCCCACTGCCTCAGGCTGCTTAACCTCGTCCACATAATCCAGCATCTCAGGCGCGAATGCACCCGCCCTTAAGAACAGCTTTTGCATATTCTCCGGCCCAGTGGACAAGAGGTAGCCCGAAGGATAGTGCGAGAACCTCGCGGGATCGCTCTCGGCCGCGAAGCCGTGGTCAAAGAAGGACACGTTGACGAGGCCCAGATGGGAGTTTAGGTAGTACCCAGTCAGCACGGAGCCGTCAGAGAGGTCGCCGTGACGGGCGAGGAGGCCGCTGGTTATGTAGGAGCCTAGGGAGTGGCCTATGTGGATGATCTTGGACGGTGGGTTCGCCGCGGCGAAACTGTTGGCGCTGGTGTTGGTGGCGGCGTTGGTGGCGACGATGGTGGATGAGCTGAGTAGCTGGCCGCTGCGCGCCAGCTGGGTCAGCCCGGCGAGGATCTCGACATCTGTCGGGATCTGCACGATGTCGTAGGCGTCTTCTGGGACATCGGACTGGCCTGTTCCTAGGCGGTCGTAGGTTAGGAGGGAATAGCCTTGGCTGATTGCAGCGTCGAGGTAAGAGTTCTCTCGTGGGTTGACATCAATGTCCCAGTATCTTTTCGACCGAAAGCACATGAAAGAGTTAGAAAGTTGAGATCTTCTGGAAGGGAACATCACTTTCTCTCTCCTTTTCTGTCTCTGTGGGATTCATTCCCCAAATTCACGGATCGACTTACCTCTTGTCCCACCCCAGACCCTGCGTCGCTATCTGCAGGAAACCCGCCTTAGGCCCCCCCTCCGCCGATGGCACGCAGAGCTGCGCGCTGATGTTGAAGGTCTGGTCCACATACACTGGCCCGGTGTTGCGGTCCAGGAAGCTGGGCGCGGACCACGCCGTGACGTTGAGCTCCCAGCCGATGGCGTCGATGCCACTGTCGACGCGCGGCATCTCGTAGTCTAGTTTTGCGCGACATTAATATCCAAGAGGTGAGTCACAAGAAAATGGTCATGACTGACGAGAGTTATTGGCGATGACCGGAACAGGCACCTGGAGCTGGACGCATTGCTTGGCAGCTGCGGACCTGGCAGATGTGGCTGCTGCGGCTCGTGCTAGAGTCATGAGCTCTGCCACGGCGAGAATGATAGACGAATATTTCATACTGATCGTTCTTCGTTTGCCTTAGGAAAGTGTGTAATATAATGCCCGTCGTGACTTTGGTACTGCTCTGGAGTGTCTCGAGAAGACCACGATGGCCAAGATGAAGAGCAGGACGGCGCTTTTATAATCTCACAAACACCCATGCCATGACTCCATCGGCTGTGACTCGAGTTCAATAAAACTGTGATATCCAAAATTCTGGTCGTGGCTGTCAGGTGAGACGTGTGGATGCGGATGAGCGGATAGGCGTATAAGCGTATAGGTTTCGTCTCACTGTCGGCAACTAGCTATTGTCAGCAATAAGACTTTATTGCATCATCATCTATACGGATAGGTTCAAGTGGCGCACTCGACGCGCTGATGAGTTCAAACCACCAATCTCACTCTAGGGACAACTGCGGGAACCGACTGAGCTTCTACAGACGCACGCCTTTGAGACCGAGCCATAACCTCTCGATGTTTCTACTAGCGGCTTGAAGAATCCAAGCTCTTGTTGATAACGCAAATTTAACCTCGCCGAGGGCGGTCCTGTCCTAATTATCGAATTTTCAGGTCTTGGCACTTGACCGGCGCCAGCCAACACTATCCAGCCCTGCCCTGCCCTACACGAGGGCCTCCTCTCTCTCACTCCACCGAACTCCCTCCGGGCCTTATACAAGCCTCAAGCCTCTAGATAGGTGTAATGATATTGTTTGCTCAGGTGAAATCTTCAAGTCCTATTTCTGAGCCGCTTCAGCGGCGATCAGGATCCCTGTTTGGCTTAGCTACATACCGCGAGGCTTGCTAATTACGTATTTCTCAGGACCTACGAGGCCGCTCGTGCGGCGCGGCTGACGTAGCTAATCACAAAAGCGGTAGCGACGACCGCGTCACAGGTATTACAGAAGAAATCTTGGAGGGTACTGGCAGTATTGCAAACATACCTCTGTTGAGAAAGGGGTTTTTCTCTTCGCGTTAATTCCTCCGGCTTCACTACGAAGCAGCACTTGAGCCAGTGCTTGAAACCCCTACAACACGCCGCATAATGACAGGAACGAAGCAATCACCATTTGATAATAAACTGATGGGAACACAGAAACGATCGGCCGGCTCTCGTGGGTAGTCATGTGTTTTGAATTTTTTACTGGCCGGTCATACCAAGGAGCGGTAAGTCTGACTGTTGACCTGGTTATGAGAGAGTATCAAGAAATGCGTGCACATATGCTCTCCCCCCGAAATCACATTGAATCCAGCAGCGGTTCACAGCCTCACTTAACCTTCAAAACCCACCCATCAGCCTCCTTATCGCTCTTGGCATTGACCCCTCCCCAGAACACAACACCTTTACCATTCAGGCAGGGCCCTGCACCGAAGAAAGCCCTCGGACCGGGGTGAACCTTTCCCTCATGCTCCACCTGCTCAGTCGGCACGATTTCGATTTCAGCCCAGCTGAATGCGCCCGAATCCACATGACCGGGGAGATGATCACGGATGGCGTCTTTCACCGTGGTCATGCTGAAGCCTTGAGAGGGGAGCTGTAGTGACCAGATATCAGAGTAGTACGGGTGGTCCTCGTTCTCCTTGCCCTGCGTGTCGCTTTTCCCGAGCAGGTAAGCCAGATAATGCCGTCCATATCCTGTTGACAGAGGGATCAGGGCAGCGCCGACTCTTGAGCTGGGCCCGGGAACGAGAGGATTGGCTGGGAAGTCGACCTTATCCCACTTCAGTGCGTCGGGCTTCGCCCTCTCCGTCGCGTTTGGTCCCAGGTTCAGGAAGTGTATGGACCCGCTCAAGGCCGAGTCGCTCGTGAGGCTGTATAGAGTGTTGTTGACAAAGGCTGAGCTCGATGGTGAGGCAGGGGAGGAAGGCAGCTGCGTCCAGGCTACTGCATCAAAGTCGTAGAGCCAAGTTTCTCCAGCCTGGCCAGAGGACCCCGATGTCTTGCCACCATGGAGGACTAGGAACTCCTGCTTTTCGTCCACGAATATACTATGTCCCTCCCTTGGGGCCAGTGCCTTGCCAATTTGCGTGGCTGCATGGACCTTGGCCCACCTCAGCGTCTCCGAGTCCCACAGCCACAGGCAAGCGTCCTCGTCGATTGGCTTGCCAGTCTCGTCACTGCCTCCATGGATAAGGACGTACTTGCCCCGCGCACATGCCGCGTGGCCTTTTCGAGGTGAAGGGACCAGCAGCTCTCCTGTTGTGGCCTCCTTGAGAGGGAATGCTGGATAGCAGGCGTACTCGGAGTCAGGCTTCGTGTCGGATGGGAGTGAGATAGCGTGGACGTCGGTGTTGCAGAGTTTCCCGTTGGATTGCTCGCCGCCGAAGATGTAGGCCTTGTCGCCAATGACGGTGACTGAGTGGTGGGACCTTGCAAGTGCTAGTCTGCAGGGAAGGGAGAGTCAGCACATACTGCTAGTAGAATCACGCGGTAATGTCAATGGGTTACATACGTGGTGTCCTCGGCTGGGGAGGTGGCAATTCGATTGAGAGAGGCTTTGAAGGGCTGGGCAGGTTTGGCGACGGCGACGGCTGCTCCAGCCTGGATACTGGTGGAGACGACCTGCTCGACGGCAAGGGCTCCAGCTGCGATCTCAGCCATGATGTGGTGGTTGTGGGTGCGGGATGGTGTGTTTTTCTCTCGTCAGCGGTGGTGGTCAGTATTAAACTTGGTGCTCTCGTGACGCGTTGCCTGTTTGGTTCCGTTTTCATGTGAGAGCAAGTTGAGTTTGTTAAGTCAGCTCAATTGAAGAGAGGAGGAGGACCCTGAATGGCCATTTCCATCTCGAGATGTTGTGGTCCCTGGGATGACGTAGGCTGGTTGACCCATCAGATGCAGGAACGAAAGGGAGGCTGCTGATCTCATGTGTGTAACGACGACGTCACTGGCGGCTGGGGGGCAGCAATCAGAGACAACAAAACAACACAAAGAAAAAAACAACATTGAGAAAGAAAGAAAAGACACGCGAGCCTTGAGACACTCCAATTGAGCACATCGAATCTCACATTTCTCAAGCCTTATTACTCCTCTCCCTTGCACATCAACAGTCAAGGAGATAATTCCTGCAAGTCATCAATTCAGATGATATCCGATAGCACATCATCCATTGTGCTAGACATGAGGCCTGGGGTATGACATGTGTCTTGTCAATAAGCGCAGAAGTCTCTCAGCTCCACGATATGCAACACCTCACATGCCAAAAAGCTTAATTTTCAATTTGCCCGTACTTCTTAGACGGCAAGCTGCAACCGAGACGGAGACAGCTCCAGACAGCTCCGTGTGACTGCCGGCCAGCCCCGGTCGGGGTTCGGATGACGACTTGCGGGGAATACCATCCCACTTGCCGACACCGGCGCCGACGACAGGGAAAGGGCGAGTCAAGATGGCGAATCAAGCAGAGCATGAGCAGAGGATGACCCTTGGGAATCTGCAACCAGCCTGTTGGCGCGGCCGCACTCTGGCCGATTCAAGCAGGGCGGGCAGGGCGCGCAAGTGCAGGAGCAGATGACGACCCAGCCATCGGCCTCCTTCCGACGGAGAATTTCTCTCTTCTTTCGTCAACATGCACATGCCTTCACCTGACAAGACGAGGACGGCGCCAAGGCTCCTCCTTTCACCTTCTCCTCCTCCTGCTGCTCCTCCGTCCCTATGAATGTCGATGAATTACTCATTAATTATATGCCATCCCCACCACAGGCCGTGCCTCCTAACCCGTCTCGTCTCAGAGAGACTGAATAACTAGACTAAATTATGGTCTCCGCCTCAGCATTCCTCCGCAAGTATGCCTATCACGAGTCCGGCCTCGCCTCGCTGTGGATCACCGGCCGCGATGCCTGGCTCGTCATCTTCGCTCGTTGCTGTCGCATGTTTGCCTACGGCGCCAGCTCGCTGATCCTCGCCCTCTTCTTCAACGAGCTCAAGGTCTCCGACTCACGCATCGGCCTGTTCCTGACCTTGACCCTCGTCGGCGACGTTGTGCTCTCCCTGGCCATCGCCCTTGTGGCAGACCGCATCGGCCGCCGCCGCACCCTGCAATTCGGGACCCTGCTCATGATCCTGTCGGGAGTCACCTTCTCACTCAGCAACAACTACTGGGTACTCCTGCCCGCCGCCGTGGTCGGCGTCCTCAGCGCCACTGGCGGCGACACGGGTCCCTTCAGGGCCATCGAGGAGTCCGTCCTGTCAGAGCTGACCAATCCCTCAACCCGCTCTGATGTCCTGTCCTGGTACATCACCACCGCCGCCGTCGGCTCTGCATGCGGCGTTGCTGCTGCGGGAAGGATGATCGAGACCCTCAAGGACAGGGACGGCTGGACTCTCCTGGAAGCCTATCACGCTTGTTTCGCGGTGTACGCGCTGATGGGTGCCGCAGCCTCCCTGGCCGCTTTCGGGCTGTCCAAAAAATGCGAGCTCAAGCCCACTGCCATCACCAAGGAGCAGGAGACAGGTGAGGCCGCCGAGGGCCTGCTTAATAACCAGGAGCTCAGGACTGTCGACGACAGTCACCAGGCTCTGGACGGGGTGGAGGAGCCCAAGCCTCAGCCCACGGCTAGCAAGATCGCCCGCATCTCCAAGGAGACTCGTTCTATCATGTACGCCCTGTGGTTTCTACTGATGGTAGACTCACTGGCAGATGGCATGGTCAGCATGTCCCTGACGACATACTACGTGGACGAGAAGTTCCACCCCCCAAAGTCGACCCTGGGCGACGTCATCTCAGCCAGCTACTTCTGCGCCGCGCTGTCAACCGTCTTCGCGGGCCCGCTGTCGCGCCACATCGGCCTGGTCAACACCATGGTCTTCACGCACATCCCCTCCTCCGCGGCCGTGCTGCTCTTCCCCGCCGCCCAGAGCCGCTGGCTGACCTTTGTGCTGCTGGTGCTGCGCGTCGGGCTCAACAACATGGACCAGGCGCCCCGCGCCGCCCTCATCGCCGCCGTCGTCAAGCCCCAGGAGCGCACCGCTGTTATGGGCATCACCAGCACCCTGCGGACCCTGGCCAACGTCACCGGGCCCAGCTTCACAGGCCTCCTCGCCGACAGCGGCCGCTTCTGGATCGCCTTCGTCGTCGGCGGCGCCCTGCGACTCGCCTACGACGTCGGCCTGTTCGTGGCTTTTATCAACATCCAGCTGTACAAGCACGAGCCGGGGCAGCAGGCGTCGCCCCCTGCCTCGACCGGGAGGCTGTCGGAGGATGCATTCGAGGTTGGATCGGACGGCGATGATGATGCTGTTGAGGCGAGGTTGTCATTCTCGAGCGATGAAGGGGTTGGGGGGATCCCGGCGGGTGGGAAGAGGAGGGACAGGGAGGAGTTGCCGGCTTAGGTGCCTGTGCTTTATGCCGATGCCCATCTTGTGGTTTGAATAGACGAGCCATGAACACTTTGTATACATTCATCTTACTATGCTGAGGTGCTCTCGTGAATGTTATGTTCCATTGCGTGCACAGAGGCCCCTACAGAACTTGGTCACTCTGAGGGCCATGTACTTCAAGGCCATCTCTCTGCCCTCATAGCCATTTTTCTTCATCCAGAATAACCACACCAATGTTCTTTGCTGTAAGGGATTCAGCTTGAAAGTTACGATGTCTTCATAAATTCTTCACAAGTAAAAGCAAATTTCAAATTATAAAATTGGATATAGAATGAGACTGGATTTAGAGTGGAAAATGAATTCGGCAGGAAGAACCCTTACTTTTAAGAGATTATCCTCTCAATTGCTTAGAATTGCACTCATGCTTCGGGACGAAGGTTGGACGAAAAAGAACCCCTGCTTTTCCCTTGCCAAGGTCCTCCCTTTTCAATTCTGCAGTGTCTGGAAGTTAAAAATGATCAACTCAGTTCAGATTGATCTGATTGGAATTTGGACTGAAGAAAATGGTGAAGTTGAATTTGAATTTGAAGGAAGAAGCTGTCCCTGGGTAGGTACTTAGATCTATACCTAAACATCAATGTTACTAAGAATGAGTATTGATCAAAGACCCTTCAAGTCTACTTTTTCAACTCTATGACCATTTCCTCTCCGCGACTATTTTCTACAAAAGGAAATCAAACAGCTATTAGGTTACTTTTCAAAGAAGGATTCTTATTGGGAAGAAGTTCTCGCCAGTCACACTCGCAGAAGTTTCTGCAGACACCCATATGCACCGTGTGGTTGGTGATTCGGGCTCAATGCTGGAGGTGTTAACACTCATGTAAAGGACTACCTTCCTGAACACTCATGTCAAACCCTCGACAAATGCATCAATACACGGGCCATCCCATATGCTGGAATGCCGGGGAAAATGACAACAGGGTGTCCAATGATGTCTACTAATTGTGACCATGACAAGGGTATTTATTCTCTAGTTCTTACGCCAAGTCAAGATATATGAAAATGCACAATGCAAATGATCAGTCTTTCGTGGCAAACACAAGGCTTGGAGCCGACATGTTTCTTTCATCGGAAAGCTGAGTACGCCGTTACATCGTTCTATCTCACTACCCAAGCGCTTAATCGTTCTGGGCCCAATAGAGCCCTGCGGGCTAGCTATATCTACATTTCCCGGCAGTCAGTTGCTGCCACCCTGATAAAGCACGATAAGTCGACTGCTATCCCAGCGTTGTCCCATCGCTGCAACCATGTCTCAATTGCCCCTCATGCAGGGCCATGTCTCATTCTTATCGCGGCATAGGGCCGTCAATCTATGACACAGATTGCACATGTACTCTACGCCGCTGTCAGCATTGTCTCAGCCCCAGATTTCGTAGATCGGAGGGGCTGATCGCACGTGGACATAGAAACCTCTTGAAATCCGCGACACTTGCTATTTCGTTTGTCCAATTCGCTTTCGAGATTGATAACGAAAGACCACTGGCCCCCACCCCCTTTTTTCCTACGCGCCGAATCAGCCATGGATGACAAGAAGCTGGAGTCTCAAGTGAAGTCGTCCGCCGATGGGGACGTCTCGGCCGGGGAGACAATGGTGCTGTCCAAAGACGAGCAGCACCTGGCGAAGCTGGGGTACAAACAAGGTTGGTCAATGATGAACGCCGCAGTGTTATGGGGAAGGAAATCCACTGAAAAGTCTTTACCAGAGTTCTTCCGCCACCTGGGGCTCTTCGAGAACTGGTCCGCAACATACATCACGATGAACTTCGTCTCGGGCCTGCCGGTGCTTTTCGGCTTCGCCATGTACACCGGCGGGCCCAAGGCCGCATTCGCAAACTGGACCATGATCGGAGGGTATGCGTGTACTTCCGAGGCTCATTTACCAGCCCATCGCCCTCTGGAACAAGTGATTATGCGAGACTAACTTGTCCCCCAGATTGTCTTTCATCGTCTCGCTAGCCATGGCCGAGATCGCAGCCGCCTTCCCGACGGCCGGGGGCATCTACTTCTGGAGCTACCGCCTCGGCGGCAAGCGGTACGGCCGCCTGCTGAGCTGGATGACGGCGTGGTGGAACTGGGTGGGCTGGGTCTGCGTCGTGCCCGGCGTGCAGCAGGGGTCTACCAATTTCCTGCTCAGCGCCCTGGAGATCAAGTACCCGGACTCGTCCCTCATTACCCAGGGCTGGTTCTCGTGGCTCATGACCGCCTTGGGGATGGTGCTTGCGATGCTGCCCAACGTCATCTCGCAGAGGGTGCTGCAGCTCTACTTCCGCTTCGCCATGTTCATCTTCTTCGTCCTCTTTGCGTTCTACTGGATCTGGTTTCCCATCAAGGCTGCTGGGAAGTTCCAGTCGGCCGATGGGGTCTTTGACAAGTTCTATAATGGCATCAATTTAGGGTCGGAGAAAGAGGCCTCCGATGCGTATGTTTGGACCATTGGGATCTTGTTCGGGGCGTGGGAGTTCTACGGGTGAGTGATAAACTTCCCTGTGTTGACTCGATTCAAGACGATTTTGCTCACAATAAATTGTTTCATTAGGTACGACGCCTCGGCCCATCTCGCCGAAGAGACGCACGAAGCATCGGATACTGTCGCGAAGGGCATGTGGGCAGCTACGCTCTGTGCATGGCTTTTGTCCGTTCCGGTGAGTAGTGCCAGATCTTCCACAGGTAAAAACGAAGTTGTCCGCTGAAAGGATCCGCGCAGACCCTCATCATGGTCCTCTTCTGCATGCAAGATTTCGACGGCATAGTCTCAGCAAGCTACTCCAACAACTGGGCCGAGTACCTGGTCCAGCTCGTCGGCGCAGACGGTGCCGTGGCGCTCCTGGTCCTCTTCTGGCTCGACTCGACCTGCGCCACGGCCAGCTGCTTCATGTCGGCCCAGCGCGTGACCTTTGCCATCTCGCGGGACGGCGTCTTGCCTTTCTCGAGGTATTTCCGAAAGCTCAGCAAGAACCGGATCCCGGTCCACGCGGCCTTCTTGGTGTTCTTCCTAAGCATTGCCATCACCTGTGCTGTTATCGGATCCGTCGTTGCTTTCAGCGCCATCACGGCGACGGCTACCATTGTGACCAACTTCTCGTATCTCATCCCCATTGCCGCGCGGCACACGATCGGGAGGCGCGACTTCCAGCCGGCACACTTCAATCTCGGGAAATATAGCGTTGTTGTTGGATTGATCTCAGTGCTTTACATAATGTTCCTTTTCGTGGTGCTCCTTCTACCTCAACTGTATCCAGTCACAGCGGTAAGACGGGTCTTTATATAGCATCTTTGATGACAAGGCTGACTAATTTGTGCGAAGGAAACTCTGAACTATGCCCCTATCTGCATTGCAATCGTCACGATTGTAAGCCTGGTTGGCTGGGTACTTCCTTTCGGCCTCGGTGGCAGGTATTGGTTTGAAGGGCCTAAACGAACGATTGACGAGGATTCTTCAAGTGGCGGCGAACAGCTTAGGGAGAAGTGATCGCCGAACGGGTCCAAGAGAACTGGGACAGCCTTTCAATCGGGAAGTGGAAATCCTTCGACGTGAAGGGGCGGGAGACGCTTGAAATCAAGGTCACGGGTCGTTGGTAGAGCGCATGGGACAATCGAGAACATTCTTCAAAATTAAGCCTACCGTGACTGGTGGTCTTATTCATGCCAGTGCTAGGTAGCAGCACAAAGGTTTTCCCCAATTGGACACTCAGGAGGCATATCCCTGAATGACTCGATAAAGCAATCCTCAGCCTCGTGTAAGTCAGTCCGCTCAGCGTGACATTACTTAAGCGCACAGTTCAAGTCGATTTGAGTTGATCCATAACTGAAATTAGGAAAAGACTAGTCTCCCACACAGTAGCGACCTAGTAGTCTAAAGGCATTCTATGGAAAGGGAGCCTGTCAGCAAGATGTACCAGCAAGACTGACCAAACCATTAGCGAGCGGACCTATCAGCCGTGTCCAACGTGTTTCCATTTCCAATTTAACTCGCAACCGACAACACCATCGCCTGGCTGACCTCTCAAAATTTCCGCAGGTTACTCCTCCCATTCCCAAGCATAGACTCCAGGTCCTCCCATCCATAAATTGGCATGTCCGTTCCTTGTTGTGTTGTCTGATTACCGCCCATTACCCATGGATTCAATCCCGGCAAACAATCGAATGATGTCAGCCCGCTGCCCTGGCTACTGTATGTGCCCATTGTCGGTGCGGGCAGTACCCATCCATGTTCAAATAACTGCTGTTGTTGATCGTGGATCATCCCCACCGGGCCATCGTGCATTCGCTGATCCATGCCGCCAACCTCATTCGAAGGCCTTGGGCCATAACTTGCGTCCATCAGCCCACGGAACAAGAGGTTAGGACCCGAAACGTTGCTACCGAAATGAGCCTGTGACAAGGAAGACCGCAAATCCCGTTCGCTGTCTTCTGGGTCGGCTTTGACCTTGACGTGGTATGCGTTCTCTTCGAACGTGACCATGGCGCGCGCGAAGCGCTCCATGGTGCTGGACTTTGGCACTCTCATCACCAGTTCTCTCAGGCGAACCACCAGCTCACGCAAGGCTACGAGTAGTAACTTCTCGTCGGGGTCCTGTAGCCCCTGTTGACCAGACATCTTTCTTATTTTCCCCTCGGCCTCAGCCGCATCCTCTGGTTTCGTAAGGAACGGTTGTTCACTCGGGTCCAGCCTGAGAGATCGGAGGATCAATATCATAGCCGCCGAATATGCGAAGAACACGTCGAGTCCAGATGCTCCGTGGATGAGACCAAATGAGTCAAGCAGCAGAAGAAGGCGAGCCATTTGGCAGGCATGCCGGAAGCACATGTCCGAGAATTGGCCTAACTTATTCGGGATTGTTGTGTGAGAACCTTGTTCATGAACCGCGGTGTGCCCCGTTCTCCCGCTTGCTGTTATGCTTCGCAACAGGAATGGCCTTGTGACCAGGATATAGATGTAGTGGTACTGGATATGAAGGTGAAGTAGAGCACGGAGGCTAGGTAGGTCGCGCCAGCCAAGTAGAGTCTTCAGCTCGCTGAGCTCCATTCGTGGGCCGTTAGGTACCGGCAGCTTGTCGTCCTCTTCCGTGGCAACAGGTACATCTAGTCCCTGGTGAGAGGACAACTCTGCTTTCCAAACCTTCAGGGACGCGAGAACCTCGTCAACCGATAGCTGGTGTGCTTCGTGTGGAGCCTGTGCAGTCGACGCGGATGCATATCGAGGGTTCCGAGACGTGGACAAGATCCTGTTCAGCTTCAAAGTCATTAGGCTAAGGGAATCGTCACTATCCTGACGGCCATTGAGTACTGCCCCACTTGGATGGACAACTTGAACATCGATATCGTTGACACCACTTGGTCTTCCAAGACTGGAGGCGAGAAACTGTTCGAAGCCATATAGTGTGCAAAACACCCGCCTTCTTGTTTCCCTCTCGATCGGTGAGAACAGCTCTGATGTGTCATTCCTGTGAAGTCCAAGTGCGAAGCAGATTCGAGTCGCCGTACCAACAAGGTTCCAGGCAGCGTTTCGTTCGTTATCATTGTGGAGGAACAAACTGAGGAGCAGCAGAGCCCGGACGCCAGAGAGCGAGCACTTGGTGACGATTCGGGGGAGGAGTTTTCGTGTGGCATCAACGCAATGCTTTTGCAGGATCTTGGATTCCAAGTCATGATGGTGAGGCACATTCGACAGAGACCCGAAGACAACCATCATCTGCAGGCAACCAATCCAGCCATGGTCCGGCCTGGTCACGCCGAGGGTCGACGGATACTGTGCGGACTGACGACGATTCCTGATGAAAGCATCGTACTCCTTTTCGAAGCTTTCTCGATGGAAGAGTGGGAAGTCTTCATGGACGTTATTCCAGTACAAAGGAAGAAGACTCTCAACTAATTCAAGCTCTGGGATCTGATCCATAAGCTCTTGGATCTCGTCCGTTGGTGCTAGTCCAGAGCTGGATGTACTAGTAGCCTGGGGCGATAACGAATCCTCCAGCGGAGACGCATCATGACTTTGTACAACGGCACGCTTCGCTATTTCTGGATCCTCGTTATATTGGATCTCAGCCTCAAGTGACTGGGGTATTTCATCTCGCGTGCCATCAGACGCATGTTGGTTTGTGTGGCCAGTCGAGATCTCGCTCTCTCGGGAGATCAGTAACCTGCGTAGCTGGTCAAGGAACTGCAGACTTCCTGATGGACCAATATAGTGCTCATGTCCAGAAGTGTCCCGGAGCAGTCCAACCTTCTGGTCTTGGAAGGCTGGGTCTTCCTTCTTGTCTGGGTTAATATCAGGTTGGCCATCGCCCTGCCTTATAGGGTGAAACCCGGAGTCCACGCTGTTGCGATGACCTGGTTGCGCCTCAGAGGCTGACAGTCCATCACCAGTCTTAGAGCTGTCCCTCAACAGCACGTCGAACGTATCGGCGTCATCCGACGACAGGTCTGGTATATCAATCTTCAGACGCTGAGCAAGCTGGATGAGATCAGAGGCAGTGGCCACCGGCTGGTTGGGGAAAGCGCCGCGGATGATGGCATCAAGGCACTTGTATCTAGAAGACACAGAGGTCTTAGGGTTCTATGACAGCCCTAGTTGAAGGAGTGGGACGGGCCTCACCTATCACTTAGATCCTCCAAAGAGCCGTAAAAGCGCGTCTTCCGTGGAAGGGTGTACGAGCACGAGACACCCTGCCCCTTGCAAGCGACGCAATCTATGCTATTGGATTCGATAACACACTTGCAACGCCGCTTCGAGCGAAGTGATACTCAGCAAATGCACGAGTGGTTCGACGTTCACCATCATGATTCATCCCCTGGCAAACAAAGCTTGAAAGTGGTCTGATTTCTTACCTTCCTGCAAAGGTCGCAACTCTGGGCGGACCTGGATCTAGAATCAGCAGATTTTCTGGGTCCGGGAGAGAATGGCGCGTGGGACTACAGGGCACCTCCGTACCTTTTCCGAAGCTCATCTGGTATGCGCCTCGTACGACGTTTTGCTGCAGCTGCTGATTCACCCATCTTCACTGCCGACCTCACTCATCCTACCTATCTATTCACAGAACGAGCATACACAACAACCCAGGTCGATCGACTTTCGCACCGAACTGATCCAGGATCTAGGGATTGCAATTGGATATTCTCGAACGATGTGATCAGTGGGCTTTTGGGGCAATGAACCGATGAGACCGCCGGCAGTCGATGGGCGAACGCTGGCAAGGTGCGGAGTACCAACAGTCTTGTTTTAACCGAGTCTCCGCCCGTTGTGGGAGGTCGATCCGCGGCGTCGGTCACCTTCACTGGGCATCGGAGGCAGATAGCAGCTCATTGGTGTGGCACAACCTTGGCCTGTCTTCTCATGCATGCTTGTGAGCTTAAATTGCCTAGGGGGTTACGTACTCCCAGCCACTCGGTGGTCAGTGACCAGAAGAATAAGCTTTAGCGGTCAGGGAAGCATCCGCGGGGTCGGCTTCACGGGTAGATCTGCACGGACAGTCTGACCGTCAAATGATAAAGTTAATTCGCATTCAGAACAGTTAACAACTCTTTCAGGTTATCATTATATAGGTATTGACTGTTGCTGTCCCGACTCATTCTGATGTTGGACGGTAAAAAGTTGTCCCCCGCTTGACAGAGCCGTACGTGTGAGGTTGGGATGCTGACGCCGCCTCAAATCCGGAAAGGGGAAGTGTTTTGGATTCCGTCTCGTGGTGACCATCCTTCTTGCGACGCAACAAGGGCAATAGGTCTACGAGCCTTGTTCCGGCCGTTCTGCTTGCATGTTAGTATGTTTCAGGCGGGATTTAGAAATTTCTCCCGAACTCGCGGTCTTTTCTATTCTAGGGTCCGTAAATACAACACCGGAGGGCTCCGCAATATCGGAACTAAACATGTGCTTAGGCTCGGCGTTCTCCCCGTCGTCGGGTAGCAATACTAGTGAAGACAACTGTGAGGTTACGTTACTGTCAATCATTCATAAGATTGCAGGTTCGGGTCGGAGAATCATGCCGATACATCACAACAATTCGGTGTAGCATTCGGACTCGGTGAGCTTGTGGATGATTCCGCTAGGGCGACGATATCATCCGCACGGCAGTGTAATAATGTTTCTTATTTTGAAGGGGTATCATATTCGTAATTCGTAGATGTGTACCAGCACCCACTGGAGAAATTCATACACCAGCTGCCTCGTCCAAATGTGTCATTATTCGACATCAACGAGACTGTTCTTGCCTCGACATGTGCCCAACTTGTATAGTATGAGCCTGCCTTGGGCGATCAAATACCGCCCCGGATTCTGCAACGGACCTCCCAGTCGTACTAATCCGCCTCGAGCTGCTATGTGATAGAGAACCACTCGCAGCTGCCTCCACAAACAAGTCACCCTGCTCGCCGCGGTCGTCCGTCTCGGTCAGGGTCTTAACAGTTTGCCGGTCGTCGTCACCATCGCCGGTCATGGTCTGAGTGTCGTCGTCGTCATATTTTGAGTCAAGACTGCCCAGGATCATTTTGAAAATGTTACCGTCGGCTGGCTCGTGGTCGATAATATCTCTGTGGTATGAAGTGTTAACACTGGATTCGAGGGAGTGAAAAAAAAACCGGGGCGAGGCTTGGCGACGCAGAAGAGTGACTTACGGTAACGGCTGGCCGTCAGTGTCTTCCAGGTTGTTGTCCATATGCTCAAGTTTGGCGATGGCCTCCTCATCGTGGCCGAAGCGCACGAACTGGATACTCAGACCTCGCTCCCCGATCTGCTTTCTCAGCGCCCCCTGATTCTGTGCCCTCTCCACAGCGTGAACAATTCCGCCCTTGACAGTTCCCTTGTTGCGGACCCCGGACCAGATTCCATCGGTCAGAATGATGAGCGTGAGTTTCTTCTTCTCCTTCTTGATGAAGTTACTGGACCAATTCCCCAAAATTCCGTCGAGTACGTGGGTAATGTTCTCGTTCACCTCATTGGATGATGCCGTAGAAGTAGTAGTAGCCCTAGGTATCGAATCCGACGGGATGAAGTCAGATTGTAGGTCTTGTATCGAAGTCTGCCCAGCTTTGAATTCTCGATGAGAGCCATGACTTGGGCAATGATTGTTCATCTCTTGGAAAAATTGTTTCGGCTCATGGAAGGTGCCGACCAGCTCACTGGACGATGTGAAATAGAGATCGATGCCGTCATCGTCCTGTCCGTAAAGAAAAGCGACGAGAACGGAGAGAAGTTCCCTCGCGTAAATCCAATGCTCCGCCATGCTGGGCGCATTGTCAATTAGAAAAACCTGGAAGCAACATGATCAGTATACATAATATTAAAAACTCCGGGGCCGGTAAGCTTACAATGTCTCTTCCTTTGAAGTACGCGTCAAACGTTTCGTAGCGGTGAATGGAGTGTTCGGAATTCTCACGGCCTCTCCTTCCGCCTTCTGCCTGCTGAGCTGTCACTGGCTCTGATATTGCGAGTGTCGGAACAGTCTCTCTTGGTGAAAGGGCTGATGAGCTTGGAGGATTTGAGAGCTTTGGTTTGGAAGTTATGCCGATCAGCTTTCGCACAAGAGACATGCGTCTGTTTGACTTTGTTCTGGCAGGGTGCGTCGGACCTTGCGGCGAACGCAACGAAGATAAATTGTCCCCAGAGGTGATCTGTTGGGGGCTTTGCGGCGAGCTGATGGTTTCTGCAGCCGTCTCAGAGTTCTGTGGAATTTGAAGTGTACCAGAATTCCAGCCTGCATCTTCAAGTAGTCTCCTTGCCTGCATGTAATCGACATGCACAACACCAAGTGAAGGCTGCAAGCTGTCCTGTTTAATGTGAAGAGGGGCTGGCTCGAAGACACTACTCCTCGAACTGCGTCCGAATCCAGTATACCAGGTGTTGGGCCGTTGCAAACTATTCTTGCTGGAGGGGGTGTGATAGTAAGATCCTCTATGTTCATCGAGTTGGTTGCCTGCCAGGAGAGGTTCCTTCGTTGCCTCGATGAACGCTTTTGACCTGTACTTGTATCTCCATTCTTCTGAGCCTTCCTGGGCCATTCGGTCTTGAATAACTCGTGATTCTTGTTGCTGCTCCTGATTGACAGCATGCTTGAAGTAGCTTGGTAGCTTGTATATGACGGTCTTTTCTGCGTTGCTTCGAGCGATAGCAAGACAGGACCTGACTTTCTCAGCCAACTCAAAGGCGGAACTTCTTTGCTTCGGATCAGCTTGCAGCATGTTGTTCTCCACAATTTGTAGAATCATTTCTGTTATAGGATCACAACGGCGAAGTGCTTGTCGGACGTGTGCGTGCCAGTCTTTGACTGTCGAGGATATTTTGCTCCCGTCGTGGAACCGATCTAGACCTTTGATCGCCGTCAATGAATTGTCGTCAATGTCGCTGACTGAACTTCCGGTGTCGAGGTTGCTGCTTTGATCAGCACTATTATCATCGCCGAGCTGGCCTGACTTCCGTACAAGTTGGAATAGCTTCATGCCCCGATGGCCAAGTGCAACCCAAGTCGCAGCCTCAGAGAAGACACAGCCCAGAGACCATATATCGAAGCGCTGGGAGACTGGAGCTTGACCGCCGTCCGAACATTCTGGGCCGCCTGGAAAGTCATTAGTAACAGACGTTGGATATTGGGTCGACATGCTCACCATAGGCACTTGTGCCTCCCTTCCCTTGGATAACAGGCAAGCCTTCCTGCTTACGGACATGGGTCTCCTCTGCAAACGTGGCAAAACCGGGATCGCCAATTTTCCATCCTTTCCTTCTGCCGTCTTTGCAGTATATGATGTTGGCAGGTTTGATGTCACAATGCCATCTGCAGGCTCTGCAGTTAGTATTGATGCGGGGAATGCAACCAGACAAATGGTTCCTTCTTACCCAAGCAAGAGTATTTTAGTGGTCGAAGTCATGCACTTATGTATCTTTCCAAGAGCTGTGAGCAGATGACTGAGAGCCTCCCAGAACTGTAGAATTTCCTCTGTCGTGCTAGGCGCTGGATAGAGGGAAAAGAACTCGCTCAAATCGTACGCCCCATACTCGAGCAAAAGATAATACTCCTGCATTTTCAAGGTTGTGTTAGGGGCGCTCAGTCTAATCACCCAGCTTCCAAGGCATCGTATAATTCCGTCTTCCTTTCGGAGATGTTGATAAGCCTTTTGTTCGTCTTCGAAAGGTTCTTGCTGGCTCAGCACTTTCAGAGCAAATTGTCGAACCTGTGCAGTCATCGGAAGTCAGCCAAGGTAGTATTTTCCTACGCATCCCGTTCAACTGACCTCTCCTTCAGTTCCATCTTCGTTGTATCTGGTGTAATGCCGGCCTTCAATCTCCTTGGCCAGGGTATGGGGGATGCACTCTCTCGGCACCTCGATTATATATAGCGTCCCCGTTCCGCCCTCCTTCAGTAAGACCTTCCTGGTCACTGGTATTATCATTTTACTGCCATGGTCGTAGAAACGCCCAAATACTTTATCGAATGCTTCTCGTGTACAAAGCTCCCATTGTAGATCCGAGAACTCAGCGGCAAGTCTCTTGGAGTTCGCGAGGTCAAAGCCCACTTGGTGAAAGATGTCCCACAAAGAGCTGTCTGTGAGGTGACCTATAGACGTATCTAAGATCTTTTGCTTGAAGAAAGCATTGACATGCTTGCCCATGTTCTGACCGTTGTGTTCCATCTGTAGCAGAATTGTGAATATCCGCAGCCAACATTCCTTGTTGTCTTGTCCCATGTGTATGAGCAGCCAATCGATCTCGTCAGGCCGGCCGTGGTTGGGCCCGTACAGGGCTTTAAGGATGCGCCTGGCATTGGTGCTGCTGTCTGGTGCATTACCGTCGGGTGAGGTTCGCAGCCAGTTTGCGATTCGGCTGGCGAGTATGAAACGACGGTCGTCAATGATTGACCATCTCTGGGCTTTTTCGAGTTCGCGTTTGAAGTCGTCTAAAGCATTTTGGCCATCCTGCTCGGTGTCTAGGCTTCTAGCCATGGTAGCAGCCAGGCGCCTAAAACCAGGATGTCGATTTGTGTTGGAGCTTGCGCACTGCTCTCTGCTCTCAAGCACAGATGCGTTTGGAGATTCTGTCGGCCCGTGTTGAGAGCCTTGAGCTACCACGAGAAGTAGACAGAAGTCCACAGGTAAATTTCTGGAGTCATTTGCAGATGTTGCTGGCAAGGCTCTGGAGAGCTGGACCCTGAAGAGGGGAAAGTCCCGATGCTGCGTCTTGACCTAGACTGGATCCAGCCCGCCCTTTTCCCTGCTCTGCCTGCAGTGTCACCTCTACACCTTTTTGGTGGGAGACGCACAGTGTGAGGAACGGCCATTCAGCAGGTACCATCCTCGAGGACTCGTACGTTGATCGTCTACTCTATCCACCCTTGTGTAGTCCCCGGATCTAAAGCCAACTTCCTCCTAGCGGGCAGCAAACATCTCGTACTGATAGATCATCAGATGAGGTTGATACTTGTTGGAGAGTGCTACGGATCGGCCCGCAAGTTTATTCCAGGCCCACTGATAATAGTTGTCTTCGCTTGGACGTGATATCTATCATTGCAACGGTGCAGGAGATCCCACATAATGCCATCAGCTTAAGCGATGTACCAGCTGGCAATGCACAGCTCGCGAGTGGGCCCAATTATTAGCAAGCCAAGAATACAGAAGTGCCTCTCTTCGTTAGCTGCTTCTATACACCGCATGCCTATGGATCGTGATCATTACCTCGCATCTGACGTCCTTGGGAGCCTTTCTGTGCCCCTGTTCAGAGCCCATTCTATACCCCTGTTCAGAGCCCATTCTGTGCCCCTCTTCAGAGCCCATTCTGTGATCCAGAACCCTTTCTGTGCCCCTGTCCAGAGCCCTTTCTATGCCCCTGTTCAGAGCCCATTCTGTGCCCCTGTTCAGAGCCCAT